TGTTTATTTATATTGTAAGTGTTATGTTTAACTTTTAAAGAAACTACCAAACTCTTTTGCAAATTGGCAGTACCACCAAGGGATGAAGGCCCAGTTTCTGCACATCTTCAGAAATACTTGATATTGTCAGTCTTTTTCATGAGCACCATCGTATGTGTGGTGTCTTACTGTGGCTTTAATGGGTAGGTGTATGCATTTCTCTAACGACTAATGGTGTTGTACATCTTTTCATGTGCTTATTAGCCATTTGTATATCGTCTCTGGAGAAATGTCTATTGAAATGTTGTCCATTTAAAAAATTGAGTTGTTTGTTTCCTTATTGAGTTGTAAAAATTCTTCATATATTCTGGATACAAATCATTTATCAGACATGACATGTATTCATGATTTGCAAATATTTGATTTGCAAATATTTCCTTCCAGTTTGTGGCTTTTCTTAATATAATGGTGCCTTCTGAAAAGCAAATATTTTAATTTCAATGAAGTCTAATTTACTAAAGGTTTTTTGTTTTCTAAATGAATTGCACTTTTGGTGTCATATCTAAGAAATCTTTGCCTAATCCAAGGTCACAAAGACTTACTCCTATGTTTTGCTCTAGAAGACTACAGTTTTAACTCTTACATTTAAGTATGATATGTTTTGAGTTGATTTTTTTAATATGGTGTGAGATAACAATCTAAGTTTGTTTTGTTCTTATTTTACATATGGTTATATGGATATCCAATCCTTCCAGCATCATTTGTTGAAAAGATCATCCTTTCCTCCATTAAGTTGACTTGGCACCCTTGTAAAAAATTCATTGACCGTAAACGTAAGAGTTCATTTCTGGATTTCTGTTCTGTTCAGTTTGTCTGCATGTTTTGTCCTTAAGCCAAAATTACACTCTCCTGGTTACAGTAGCTTTGTAGTAAGTTTTGAAATTGAGTGGTTTAAGTATTCTTACGTTGTTCTTTATGTAGATTTTACGTAGAATCTTCAGGATTTTCTGCATACAAATTCACGTCATCTGTGAATCTGTGAACAGGTTTAGTTCTTCCTTTCCAATCTTATGTGTTTAATTGCTTTTTCTTGCCCCTATCACACTGGGTAGAGCCTCCAGTATAAAGTTAGATAGAAATGGTGAGCACTGATATCTTTACCTTATTCCTGACCTTTGGGAGAAAGGATTCAGTCTTTTACCATTAAGTATGATAGTTGTAGGGTTTTCATAGATGCTTTTTATAAAGTTGAGAACGTTTCCTCTATTCTTAGTTTTTTAAGAATTTTAATTATGAATGGTGTTGGATTTTGCTGAATTTTTTCTTTTTGCATCTTTTGAGATGATCATGAGGTTTTCGTCCTTTATTCTGTTTGAATGGTATAGTACCTGGATTGATTTTTGAGTATTAAATCAACCTTGCATTTCTAGGATAAATCCTATGTGGTCATGGTGTTTAAACATTTTTTATATGCTACTGGATTTGGTTTGCTAATATTTTCTTAAGAATTTTTGCATCTGTTGCAATAGGGACATTGCTCTGTGGTTTTCTTTTCTTTGGTGTCTTTGTCTGGCTTTGTTAGGGTAATGCTAGCCTCTTATAGAATGAGTTGGGAAATCGCCCCTCTTCCTCTGTACGCTAAAGGGTTGTATTAGATTGGTATTATTTCTTCTTTAAATATTAGAATTCACCAGTGAATTCTCGTGAATAGAAAAGCCTGAGATTTTCTTCATGGGAAGATTTTTAAACTATTATTTCCATTTCTTTACTTGTTACAGATCTATTCAGGACTTTCAGTTTCCCCTTAAGTCAGTATTGGCAATTTCTTTCTTTCTAGGAATTCTTTTCATTTCATCTAAGTCGTCTAATTTGTTGGCATAAAGTTGTTCATAATACTCACTTATAATCCTTTTAATTTCTGTAAGGTCGGCAGTGATGCCCCTCTTACATTCCTGATGTTGTAAGTTTGTGTCTTTATTTTTTCTTGGTCAGTTTAGCTAAAAGTATATCAATATTTTTGATCTTTTCTAAGAACCAACCTCTCATTTCCTTGATTTTCTCTATTCTTCAGTTTTCTAGTTCACTGATTTCTTCTGACCTTTCTTACTCCTTCTTTGGGTTTAATTGCCTCTCTTTCTCTCCGTCTCTCTTGTTTCTTAAGACAGAAACTTAAATTATTGTTTTTAGAGCTTTCTGCTCTTCTAAGTCCTACTTTAGTTCCATTCCATTAATTTTGATATGTTTTATTCTTGTTTAGTTCAGCTCAAAATATTTCTAATTTTCATTGTGATGTTTTTTCCTTGACTCATGGGTTATTTAGAAATGTGTTGTTTAATTTCTAAAAATTGAGGACTTCCCAAATTTCTTTGTTCCCAATTTCTAATTCCTTTGTGGCTCTAAATGACTTAAATCCTCTTAAATATATTGAAATTTGTATTATGGCCTAATATATGATATAAACTGGAGAATGTTCCATATGCTTTTGAAAAAATGTGTATTTGCTATTTTTAGGTAGAGTGTTCTATACATGTCAAATTGATTGATAGTACTGTTCCAGTCTTCTGCATCCTTGCTGATTTTCTGTCTAGTTGCTCTATCAACTACTGAAAGTGGGGTACTGAAATCTCTAACTATAGTTGTTAAATTGTCTATCTCTTCTTTCAATTCTATCCATTTTTGCTTCATAAATTTTAAGACTTTGCTGATAGGTACTATTACATTTTAAATTGTCATATCTTCCTAATGTATTTACCCTTTATCATCACGAAATATACCTCCTTGTCTCTAGTAATATTTTTGTCTTAAAGTCCATTTTGTCTGATAGTAATATGTCACCTCTGGCTCTCTAGTTGCTACCATTTGCATGGTATACCCTTTTCATCATTTACTTCCAACCTATTTGTGGGGTTTTTGTGTGTGTGTGTGAAATGTGTCTCTTATAAACAGTATCCATCGAATCTTGATTTTTTTATCCAGTCTGACAATAACTGCCTTTTGATTATAGTGTTTAGTCCACTTATAGTTAATATAATTATTGACATGGTTGGATTTAGGCCTGCCACTTTGTTTTCTACATCTCTTTTTAAAATCTGTACCCCCTTCACTGTTTTTGTACTAAACAATTTTTTAGCATACCATTTTGATTCTTCTGTTGCCTTACTGTAGTTTTGAGTTATTTTCGTAGTGGTGGCTCTACAAGTTACAATATGCACGCTAACTTATACCATCTACTTCAGGTTAATACTGACTTAATTCTTGTGAAATACAGCAATATTGCTCTAATATATCTTCATTTCCTCCCCTCTCCTTTGTGCTACTATTATCATATCTCTACATATGTTATTAACCCAACAGTATAGTGTTATAATTATTACTTTATATAATATTATGTCTTTTAACAAAATTAGGAGAAAAGAGAAAAAATACATTGACACAACCTTTTTTTATATTTACCCAGATACCATTGCCAGTGCTCTTAATTTCTTCCTGCAAAGTCAAGTTATCATCTGGTGTGAGGCCAACAGATCAGAAAAGATAACTTGTTATACTCACAGATCCCAAGAAGAGGAGGGTTCACTAAGCCATGCAGCGTCACATGGGGAAGCACCAGGATCAATCACGAGGCAGAAAGAGTGAAGGAAAAATGTGGGCAAGAGTTTTTATTGTGGTTTCCATGGGAAGGAAAAGGTGAGGCAGGGTAAGCAGGCTGAGGACTGGCTAGTTTGAACAACTGCAGCAGGGTCTAGGGCATAGGGTCTGTCCCTGGTTGTTGAGTATCTGGTAGTGGAGCGATTAGGGCAGGTGGGTAGTGGCCTAGAGTGTGAGAGCCTGATAAAGGGGGTAGTTGGGGTGTAGGCTCTGGATTGGTTGGTTTGCATATGAAAATAATTACTATCCTTAGGAATTAAGTAGCTTTGGGAGGGGCAATCCCTTCAGAGTCAGCAAGGCCTCAAGATGTCAAACATCAAGTACAGAAACTAGAAGACTTGGTTATTACATAACACTCTTATCCTCCATCCATTGCTGGGTGACTCGGAGAAGGGCTGGCAATGAGAGAGGAGACCATGTTGCCCTGGCCTCTTTAACCAGGGATAGGGTTCCGATGAAGCTCCGTCCTAACTGGATCTTCATCCCAACCACTCTGCTTCCTTTCCCCTCTGCTCACCCCTCCATTCCACCTCATCTGCCACAAGTGCGTTAATAAGAAAATGAGACCTAGCATTTATTGAGCCAATATCTTATCATGGTCTTTCCATTATTCCAATTTGGTGGGGTTTTCCGGTTCAGTGTTAGGGGAGCTAGAGCGAGGCTTCACTCTATCCTCCCTCATCACGGGGGAGATGAATGAGATCAACTCTGACCTGAATTTGGATTCCCTGAGAAGAAACAGCATTGCATTTGGCTTTTCTGACTCCAAAGGTTTGGACACACAGAATGTCTGGACTGGACAGAGGCCGTCTTAGTTACCAGTTCTTGGAGGAGGTGGTTCTACTCTTACCAGTAAGCATCCAGAATTCCCTGATGTTCTCCCCAATGGGGAAACATGCCTATGATGCAGGAAAATGCTTAATTATGACCTCACACTTTTCCTTGTCATCTCAAGCCCCATACACATTTACAAAAGCATTGTCCCATACAGGATGTTTGAGAACAATGATCGAAGCTACATGGAGGCCAGGGTTTGTGCACTGAGTTGCACTTTGAAGAATTAGTAATGGGCGGAGGTGGGGAAAGTCGGGGGGGGAATTGCTGGCGATGCCTAAACCTGTTTGTAAGGCACAGGTGCTGGCATCAACCATCTCAGGGCAGTGATTTTACAAAGAAGGAGCACAAAATCAGGGATCATACTGAGTCCATTTCATTCTTCCGAGATCAGAAGGGTGGGGTGCAAGGGGTGAGAGGGTTGGACAGTGGAAGGGGAGAGGGCTCTGGGCATGACGGCTCTACACCTGGGGACGTACTGAAGTTCATGGTCCAAACCAAGATTCAGCTGGACAAAGTGCATCCCTGCCAGGGAAGCCTCAAGTGTTCATTGTCAGGATGATGAACTGGGGACAAAAAGAGAGAGAAAGAGAGAATGGTCATTCCTTCATTTTCCTACCAGCCCCAGTACGTTTGTGCCACAGGAGCTCCACCACCTGATCACTGTGCTGCAAACATGGACTTCTACCTCAACAAGAAACATTTTTAAAAATTAATTAATTTTCAGCATTTTAAGTTTTCCGGAGGTCCTGAGCCGTTTCTGAGTGAGCTGAAGCCAAGTGCGGATAGTGAGAGAGAGAGAGAAATGTGCTTTCTCCCTGTCGAAGAGACACCTTGAGGCACCTTGGGCCAGGCGGTATAAAATAAGGGCCTTTTCCTCTTTGACGGGGACGCCGAGGACAGGTGACCCTCCGTCAGAGAAGGGCTGCAGGAAAGGGAAGCAGACTCGGTGCCTGGGCTTTTTACAGGTGAGCCGGTGGAGAAATGGATGGGCCTCCCCTCTGCTCCTCTCTCCGTTAGCCATCCACCTCCTACTTTCCACCAGCTTTCTTATCACGACAAGGTGACTTGGGGGAACATGATTGTCCGGGATGTTTTTTTTCTCTCCTCTCTGCCCTCTTTCCTGGACACGGCACATGACGAGGCCAGGATTGTGGGAAGCAATTGGATGGAGGAAGTTACTTTGGGCAGAGTAACTGCCGGTGAGGCCAACTCAAGGCAGGGGAAGGCTAGAATGTTTTCCTGGGGTCGGGGGTGGGATTTAAAAAGGTGGCTCTCAACTTGGCCTCACACTGGGCTCACCAGGGGAAGCTCTAAAATACTGATGCTTGGGTCCCACCCCCAAAGACCTGGATTTAATTGGTCCGGGATGTGACCAGGCCGTTGAGGCTTTAAAATCTCCCCAGATGATTCTAACTTCCAGCCAGAGTTGAGGATGACAGGGAGAAGGAGAGGCGGAGAACTCAAAGATTTTTCCTGTTGTCTCGGAGGGTGGTAAGTATGGGGCAAGCGCAAGCACTTACAACAAAATGACTTGGCCTGTTGAGGAAGAGGAAATGGGGACACAGAGCTCATTCCAGACCCCACACCTGTGGACACTTGGGCTGGAAGTGACACCTAGAACTTGAAGCAATGCAATGCTTCCTTCCACGCTTCTGGTACTTTGGGGCCTTTAACCGGCTAAGAGCTATCGAATACAAAACCCGCTCACGCTTCCCCTGCACCACGGACACATGGCAACCCCCATACAGTCTTCACACTTACTGGTGGCAAAACCTTAAGGTAAATGAGAAATAAAGATGGGTATAGGGGTCTGTCTTGTTTTCATAAGGGACTATGTGAGTATGTATGTCTTTCTTTGGCATCCTTGGGGTGTTTTATACGTTATCAGTCAGAGGAGCTACACTTATTGAATGTGTTGTATGTGCTAAAGGTGAAAGAGAATACTAACAAGAAAAATGTCCGGTTTCTATTCTTGGTGAAATTATAGTGTACCCAGGAATCTGAGACCCACATGAGAAAATCAGTGATGAATCAACATAATAAATTGCTAAGTTACATGATATTACTAGAAACCAAACTTCTGGTGTAAGATTAAGGCCTAGATCTCTTTCTGCAAAAGGTGAAACTGAGGCACAGAGACTGACAGTTCCATCCCCTGTCTAATCCACACCGTCATCCAACCCTTTGTCTTGGAATAGTCAATGAAACGGTACCCACATCCGAAGTTACTACTGAATTTGGAAGTGAGCCGACGTGTGCAGTGTGAGCATGGAAACGTGTGGGGAGGAGAAAGAGCTCAGAGATAGAGGAGACACAGGCTGCCCGGCTTTTCCACCCTTAGGTCCAAGGGAAAGCAGAGCTGGACAGAAAGCACAGGGAGAGAGTGGAAAAAAAGGGAAATAAAAAATTACGGAACGATTGAAGGAAATTGTCCTGTAGTCCCCCCTGCCACACCTTTGGGCAGAAGAATGTCTAACCAGTGCTCTCAAACGTTAGTGGGTTTAGGAATTACTGTGTATCCTGCTAAAATGAGAGCTGATCCAGTGGGTCTGGGGTGGAGCCTGGAACTCTGGATTTCTTTTTTTGCTTTTATTTTGTTGATTTCTTTTATTGAGATATAATTGACACATAACATTGTATAAGTATAAGGTGTAAATGCATTGATTTAATCCATTGATGTGTTGTAAGATGTTCACCACCGTGGCGTCAGCTACAGCCTCTATCATATCACATCATCAGTTCTTTTTTGCCATCAGGACAGTTAAGATCTCGTCTCTTAGCAGCTTTGAAGTTTATAACACCGCACTGTTGACTGTGATCACTATGTGCTACTCTGCATTTCTCACAAGCTCCCCGAGGTGATGGCCATGCCGCTGGCCCACAGACCACACTCTGGGCAGCAGGGGAGGGCTATCCGCTCCTGGGACCCCTCATCCAAGCCTCCAGAACTGGCCCATTCTCTCCCCTCCATCATTTTTGCTGTGATCAGCCCCTGCAACAGATAAAAGTTGTGTATTCCTCAGGGTCTTTGAGGTGTGCGTGCATGCGCATAAACACACACACACACACACACTCACTCCCCCCCAAGAATCTAGAGACCCACAAGACAACGTCACGAACAAGAAGTGAACTTCGGAAGGCAGAGGGCAGGAGGCCACGGAGCCCATGTGGCAGAAGGAGGATGGGACAAGAGGGCAGCGTTTGCTCGCTCACTCTTCCAGGGGATTAATCTCTCTATGCCTCAGTTTCCACCTCCGCAAAGTGGGGATGCTATTAATTCTTAGCCCAAAGGGCTACTGTAGGCTTCTACTGACTGCTACATGAATAGTGCCTCACAACTATTAGCAATATTATTATTATTATTATTACCCTGAGGCTAGATGTGGACCCTCTCATGTGATCATGCATTCAGCAAGCATTATGGAGTGTGGGCTCTGCCTAGCCCTGGCTGGGTCCCTGAGCCGGGAGTCTGGCTGGGTCATACCTCGTTTATGTTGAGATGAATGAACTCCTTGTTCTTCGTGCCGAGGGCCTGGAACATCCCTGATGGGAGAGACACAAGAAAGGTATCATTGCGGAGACGTTCCTTCAACAGGCTTAGCTATTTTCCCGTGGCCAACGGGCCTTCCAAGAGGCTGGTGGAGAAGCCGCTCCATCTGTTGCTAAGAGGTGAGCATCTTCTAGGGCGGCGGCCAGACTCAGGCGCCCTGAGCGGGGTGTCTCTCAACTGGGGGAGCCTCTGGAATTCCTGTGATGGCAGAAGCCGGTGGCCTGAGCACTGGGGAGTGGGTCTCTTCATTTACTGTATGTGGGTCAGCCGGCCAGCTCGTGGACCCGAAACATCTCCCCTATCTTAACTGTTGGGGGCTACAGAGCCCTTGCAATCCATGGACCTTCTCCCCAGAGAAAAAAAAGCACATGTACATAAAGGTTTGCATGAGTCTTAAAAGCCGTTCAGTCTCTGCACGTCCCTTTTGAGAAGGTGAGCGCTGGTGGTCCCACACGTAGGCAGAGCTGGGGTAGAAGAGAGCCCGTGTGCCGCGTTGAATAACCCGAGACAGTTACTTTCCTCTCCTGGCCTCAGTCTCCCCATCTTAGTCCAGGTGGTGGAACCAGTCCACACTGACTTTACCTGAGCCTCACCTGGGAGCTTTAAAATACCCCAAGAAGTAGGAGGGGCTGCCACAGAACAAAAGAGACAGAACCCAGCAGCCACATGCAGTGAGTAGGTCCTGAGGAGACCTGGGGAATCTCAGTGTGGACCGGGTCTTAGAGGATGTGGAGAACTCACTGAGAATTTTGTGAGGGTGCAAACAGCATGACGATTATGTTAAAAAGAAGTCTCTCTGATAGGGATGTTTACAGACAAAAGGACCAAATTTCTGAGATCCGTTATTAAATAACTCAGGAAAAACAGTATGCTTTAGGGGGTCATGTGGAAAAGATGAGCAAGGTGACAAGTGAGGCTGGGTAGAAGGCGCTGGAACCACTGGGGAATTTTTATAAAGATGATGCTGTGTTGCCACCCCCTAGATTCTAATTTAATTGGTCTGTGTAGCCTGATCATTAACAGTTTTAGATGCTCTCCTGGGGACTGTCACGGGGCAGGGTTTGGGAGGCACCGGTGGAGGGCACACAGGGACGGTTATTATTCTTTTTTTTGCTTTGTTTTCGTTTTGTTTTTAAAACATCTTTATTGGGGTATAATTGCTTTACAAGGGTGTGTTAGTTTCTGCTTTATAACAAAGCGAATCAGTTATACATATACATATGTTCCCACATCTCTCCCCTCTTGCGTCTCCCTCCCTCCCACCCTCCGTATCCCACTTTATACTTAGGTGTATGAGCAAAACTTTCTAGAATAAAAAGTTAAAGTCAGCCTGGGGTAAAGCCCTAGCTTTGGGATTTTTAAAGTTCTCCAGATGGTGAATCTAACATAAGGATCCTAGAAAACTGAAGAATAGAGAAAATCAAGGAAATGAGAGGTTGGTTCTTAGAAAAGATCAATAATATTGATATGCTTTTAGCTAAACTGACCAGTGATGTTCAGTTTTGAGTGCCTTCTCCCTAGCATTCCTCAATTATAAGAACAAGCTGAGAACCGCCTGCAGGAAAGGACTGGGCCTGAGGGGATTCAGAAAGGAAAAGGGCAGTTGAGAGAAGAGAAGCTACCAAATCTCACTCTCTCGAGGTCAGCTCTGACTGCCCTGTAAGTCTAATAAGCGACCGCCTTTGAGGAGGCTGTTTCTACAGTGCACCTCTCATTAGCTCCCACTCACACCCAGAGAAAGCCTGGGCCCTGAGGTCGCCGGCCAGGCCCTGCAGGCCCTGCCCGCCTGTCTCAGACCATCATCCCCATCAGTCATCACGTGAACCTTGCTTGTCCACTCAGTACAGCTCTCTTGGAGCTTAGAGTCTGGTGGAGACAAGCTTCAAATGAGTAATTCCGTGTGTTCTAAGTGTCCTGAAAGAAGCAGCGGGAGCTCCCCACTGTGGAACCAAGGAGCACAGACTTTACCTTTGTTTAGCCAGTGCCTGGAAGTCACCCAGTAAACATACTATAGAAAGTGCCAAGCAGGACTGGCTCCATAATTTGTTGTGGGACCCCTTTTTAAAAAATTATTAAGGGGCTTTCCTGGTGGTGCAGTGGTTAAGAATCCACCTGCCGATGCAGGGGACACGGGTTCGAGCCCTGGTCCGGGAAGATCCCACATGCCCCGGAGCAACTAAGCCCGTGCACCACAACTACTGAGCCTGTGCTCTAGAGCCCACGAGCCACAACTACTGAAGCCCGCGAGCCACAACTACTGAAGCCCGCACGCCACAACTACTGAAGCCCGCACGCCTAGAGCCCATGCTCTGCAACAAGAGAAGCCACAAGCAATTAGAAGCCCGCGCACTGCAACGAAGAGTAGGCCCTGCTCGCCACAACTAGAGAAAGCCCGCGTGCAGCAACAAAGACCCAAAGCAGCCAAAAATAAATTAAAAACAACAACTACTACAACGAACTCTAAAAAAAAAAAAATTATTAAGATTCAAGGGACTTCCCTGGTGGTCCAGTGGGTAAGACTCCACGCTCCCAGTGTAGGGGTCCTGGGTTTGATCCCTGGTCAGGGAACTAGATCCCGCATGCGTGTTGCAACTAAGAAGTCTGCACACTGCAACTAAAGATTCTGCATGCCACAACTAAGACCCTTTACAGTCAAAATAAATGAATACATAAATAAATATTTTAAAAAATTATTAAGATTCCAGATGGTGACCCCAGAGCGTGGGCATCCGGGGGGACACCTGCACAGCAGTCACCCTGGTGTTGAGTCACAGGCTCTGGATGTGCTTCGTTCAGCTTCAACTGCGTGACTACCCAGAGAGGGGTGGGTGGCTATGACCTGCAAACGTTAAGGACCACCTGCACATAATCTCTCTCTCTCTCTCTCTTCCTGGCCTAACAGATCTTCTCTGAGACAATCGGGTCAGTGCCTAGGGCTTTTGTAAACACAGAGGGCTGGAGAGTGAAGGAGGGCGGGGGACAGAGGTAGAGAGAGAGAGACTCCCGATTCTGTGCCCTGTGATGGGATCTGACCTTTCTTCTGATTCGCGGCAGGAGCCCCATCCCCACCCAGCTACCCTCCCACAAAGACACTGGGAACGGATGGAGGATGACGGTACCAGGCGCACTGCAGAGAAGGAGTGCACACCCGCCCCTCGGCTAGCCGCACACAGCACACAGATGGCGGGGCGTGTGGCTCAGCCCACCTTTGCTGCAGTTCTCAGTAGGTTGCCCCTTACATGCTCCTGGAAGGTGATGGAGGGAGGTGTGCTCTCCCTGGGCTCAGGAACACGCAGCCCCCCTGGACACTTATGGCTTGCAGTCTCCAGCCGGACCAGGCAGTTGAGGACGTCATCAAAGCCCAGTTGGCGCTCCTGGTCTGTGTACCTGAGAAAGATCAGCTGCAAGAGGGGAGAGCTGAGCTGGAAGCCTGCGGGGAGAGGGGGAGGCGTGGCCGCCCTGGCTGAGCCCCACGGGTGTGCCTTCGGGGGCACCAGTCAGCCCAGGGCTGCCCCAAGGAAGGGAGCCAGTGTCTACCCGGCGCCCTTGGCTCCAATGCAGTATGACAGTGCGCCTCTGTCGGGGGGACACTGGGGAGCCCACAGTGTCACTTGGTGAACCTTCTGAGTTCGCCAAGTTCAGGGTCTTGGCTTTGACCTCACATCACCCATAGGGTCTTGCTGACTTTTCAGGAAGCCTTGCTTGGGAGAACTTGATGCTGGACAGTGTTTAAGCCCCAAGCCCGGTGCCACCCTCTGGTTCTAGGGCTCCACTTCCAGCTCCTGCTGGCCCTGGGGGGATTCCAGCCAGGACACCCGCAGTAAGTGTCTGTTTCTCATGGGCATTTTAACCCAGAGATGTTGGGGGCTCTGGAGACCGAGTTATGCCGCTGCCCTCAGTGAAAGACCCCATGCTAGGCTCGTTCACACACGCCCACGATGGAGCGATGGAGCGATGGAGCGAGAATCTGGGCCTGGGAGCTTTGCTTCCCTTCTCTTTGCTCATTCGACCTCTTTGCTCATTGGTCGAATGAGGGTTTTAGAGAAGGTAACGCTCCTTATAGATTCAACACTTAAGGCTTTGATTTCTAACCAGCGTTGCCTTCTTTCATTTCAGCCTGCACACTCCCTTTCCAGGAAATGTTCCAAGTATTGCTTAGAAGCCTGCCCAGGGTCTTCCTGTGTCCTCGTTCCCGATTCCAGACCGAGAGGGGGCCGGTCCAGAGGCAGGACATGGTTTCTGGAGCCTGCACAGTGGAGCTGGCTGGGGTCAACACCCAGAGTCCTGGCGTCTGCTCTGGGTGGAGCAGGAAGAGGACAGGGTGAGGGCCGATTCCCTCCCCCTCCCCAAGCCGGGAAAAGAAGGACGTGGCCACACCTCCGTCTCTGAAGGGCTCCCTTTCCCCCCTGCTCTGTCCTTCTGCCCTAGAAACCAGGTCCCCAGACCCTAAGAAGATCAGGCCCTTCTCCTCTGTGGCACTCTCCACATTTATAATTAATTTTGTTTCTTTGCCGTCACGCAGGACCCAAGCTGGTCCTGATTTTGTCCCATTATCATACCATGAAGCTGACAGTGTTTCCCGATGTTTATTTTACTTGGAAGGGAACCAGATTCCAGGCTTTGGCCGGGCCCAGGGGTATGTCTGTGAAGCCTGCTTTGTGAGAAATGCCTTGTGGCCTGGCGGGGTGTAGGCTTCAGTGGCCGTCCTATGCAAAGGACAGCTGAGCCCCAGAGACTCGGACTGCCCTGGGAGGGGCTGCCAGAGGGTTAGGAATGCCACCTGGAGCCCATCCCTCATGCAGGAAATGGGTATAAACGACAATGGAATCATTGGTTTGGATTCAGTCTGCTGGTGACAAAGCCAGAGACGGGGCCTCCGTTGCAGAGGGGTACATGAACTCTGTGTACCCCAAACCTGACCCCAAACCATGAGATGGACATGCCCTGCCTCTCTGTGTTAATCGCCATCTGAAAGCAGAAATTAAAGGTTTGAGAGCTTCCCACCAGAGTCGTATATAACTCTGCTTGGCCAGAAAACTGGCCAGAGGCTGAGGCCTCCAGGGGTCAGGCTGAGTTCAGCCTCAGTGGATACACGTTAAAGATCCCTGATGAGAGTGAGCAAGTCCTGAATTTGAGGCTGGGCCCTACCCTTAAGAAGCATCGATTCTGGTCAAAGTCCAGCCCCCTCCCCGGGCTGTGGCAAGAGGTGAGTAGCTGCCACTGACAGCACCCGGCACGCAGACAGCTTGCGCCTGGCGGCCCAGGCTTCCCTTTACCCATGGCTTTCAGGGCGGTCCGCAGCTCGTAGGAGGACATGGTGCCAGATTTGTCAGCATCAAACTGAAGGAAAAGGTTCTGTAGGGGGAGAGCAGAGGCACTGAGAATGCGAGCACGCAGATGACCCCATTGAGGCTCTTTTGATGGCAGTAATGGGGTCCACGTAGGGGAGAGACTCCTCTCACCAGGCAGAAGGGGCAATGGTAGGCTTAGGGTCACCAAAAGTGTGGGTCCCTTTGTTTTCCTTTCATATTCGGTGGAAGTCCTGTGGTACTCCCATAAGTATGGGGGGTAAATATGGGAATTCCATCTTGATTTCCTCCCTTCCACCTTTTCAAACACAAATCCTCTGGTCATGCCAGCACCTGGACCTTTAAAATCCCCTTCTGGGACTCCCCTGGTGGTCCAGTGGCTAAGACTCTGTGCTCCCAATGCAGGGGGCTCCATCTCTGGTCGGGGAACTGGATCCCGCATGTATGCCTCAACTGAGACATGGCTCAGCCAAAATAAATAAATAAACAAATATTTAAAAATAAAATAGAATAAAATCCCCTTCTGCTCTAGGCTTGTACAGTCCCCTAGCAGCCACGCACTGGCTGGGTTACATACTGTCCACTTCTCCAGCTTGTCCCAGAACACTCTGAATTCACCAAACACTAGCTTCCCATTGCCACTGGTCTGTGCAAGTGAATTAAGGAAGAAAGGAAGACGTGAGCATCATATCACCCCAAGGCTCCTGGGGCTGCGGGGGAGGAGGGCAATGGGCTGGCATGGGTGACATGTGTGACACAGACTCAGGGCTCTGAGGGAGGGGGTTTAATTATTAAGCCATGAATCTCTGAATGGGGGGCATGGCAGGGGTGAGGGGGGATGGCAAAAGAAACGTTGAAAACACACATATGAAAAACCCTTCATTGCCCTGGACAGCACCCCAAAGTGGCACAAAGATCCCCAAGTCCCTTCACAAACATTCCTCCAACTGGCCAGTCTGTGCCTCTTTTTTTTTTTTTTTTTAATTTTTGGCTGCGTTGGGTCTTCGTTGCTGCGCGCGGGCTTTCTCCAGTTGCGGAGAGCGGGGGCTACTCTTCTTGCGGTGCGCGGGCTTCTCATTGTGGTGGCTTCCCTTGCTGTGGAGCGTGGGCTCTAGGTGTACGGGCTTCAGTACTTGCGGCTCGCGGGCGCAGTAGTTGTGACTCGCAAGATCTAGAGCGCAGGCTCAGTAATCGTGGCGCACGGGCTCAGATGCTCCACAGCAGGTGGGACCTTCCCGGACCAGGGCTCGAACCCGTGTCCCCTGCATTGGCAGGCAGATTCTTAACCACTGCGCCACCAGGGAAGTTCCCTGTGCCTCTTGATTTTGTTCCAATTCTAGCACCAGTGTCTCCCAGGCTTTGGTTATTCTCTGTGAAGAAGGCTCTCCACATTCTAGGCAAGTCTGCATTAGAGAAAAACACTTAACATCGACTTCTGCCTGCATATTTGGAAGGATACGTCCATTAGAGAAATGATGTTTTTACAGGAAGTCAGGCTTAGCTTCTTGAATTTGATGTCCCTTTCTGAAATCACACCAGAAAGCAGAATTCAGTTGACCCCTGATAAGATAAACCTATTTCCATCTGCTGAAAGTCCAGTAGGGTGGTTAGATCCGGGTTGGTGAGGGTGGTGACGCAGTCGCTCTTAAGATGCTGGTGAGAGTAGAACATGGCCTTTGGGGAGGAGCATTTGCAAAATATAAAAAAAGCTTTAAAAATGGGGATATCCTTCCAGTCTTTATCCGAGTTTCAAGAGTCCCAAGCAAAGAATTATAAGTTCAGATTTTTATCATCAGGTTACTGGTAATGGCAAAAACTTAGAAATGATACAAACGACCAACGGAAGGGTATGGACAACAGTTTATGTCCACATGATGGATTATTACACAATCCTTAAGAATCATGCTTTGATTCTTAAGATCATTTCTGGGGAAATGCTCATAAAAATTAAGTGTAGGAGACAGGGTTTAAAATTATTGGAGAAATTTGAACACTCACATACTGCTAGTGAAAAGGTACAGAAATCACTTTAGAAAATAGGCAGCTTCTTAAGAAGCAAATATAGAGTTACTATTTAACCCACAAATTGTCTTAGCTATATACCCCAGAGAAATGAAAACACATGACCACACAAAAGCTTGTACACGAATGTTCGTAGCAGCATTATTCGTGATAACGAAAAAGGGGTAACAACCCAAGCATCCATCAATGGATGAATGGATAAACCCTACCTGGTATATTCAGACAATGGGATATTATCCAGCCATAAAAAGAAGTGAAGGAGTCCTGACACGTTACAACATGGATGGACCTAGAAGGTGTCATGCTAAGCAAAAGAAGCCAGCCAAAGAGGAGCACATTTTATACGATTCCTTTTATATGAAAAGTCCGGAACAGGCAAGTCTATGGAGACAGAAAATGGATGAGTGCTTTCCAGGGGCTGGAGGATCGGGGGAGGGTAGTAAATGCTACTGGTATGTGGTTTCTTTCTGGAGTGATGAAATGCTCTGAATCAAATGAAAATTGATTGTGGTGATGGTTGTACAACTCTATGAACATGCTAACATCCACTGAGTTGTATATGTTATTTAAAAATTTTTTTAATTTTTTATACAATTTTAAAAGTTATTTTCCATTTGCAGTTATTACAGAATGTTGGCTATATTCTCTGTTGTACAATACATCTTTGTAGCCTGTCTTACACCCTATAGTTTGTACCTCCTATTTCCCCCACCCCTACTTCCCTCTCCTCTCTGGTAACCGCTAGTTTGTTCTCTATATCTGTGAGTCTGCTTCTTTTTGGTTATATATTCATTGGTTGGTTGTATTTCTTAGATTCCACAGTATTTGTCTTTCTCTGTCTGATTTATTTCACGTAGCAGAGTTGTATACTTCAAACGGGTAAATTGTATAGTATGCAAATTAACTCTCAAAGCTGTTAGTTCAAAAAATAATATTGCATCTATAGTGTAATACCTATTATGTGTGTACCTATATATACAGAGAGAGACACACACCCACAGACTACACATTTGGTACATAAACACATACACAAAGACACACACATATATGTTAAAGTGGTTATTTATGGGTAGTGAGATTAGCCGTGATGTTTGCCTTTGTCATTAGGCTTTTCTGCATCTTTTCAGAATCTTTTACCATAAACCTGAATCATTAGTGTAATCAAGAGATGAGCGGGCTTCCCATTAGTGTAATCAAGAGATGAGCGCAGTGGTTAAGAATCCACCTGCCAATGCGGGGGACAAGGGTTCAAGCCCTGGTCCGGGAAGATCCCACATGCCGCGGAGCAACTAAGCCCGTGCGCCACAACTACGGAGCCTGCGGTCTAGAGCCCGCGAACCACAACTACTGAGCCCGCGTGCCACAACTACTGGGCCCGCGTGCCTAGAACCCGTGTTCCGCAACAAGAGAAGCCACTGCGATGAGAAGCCAGTGCACTGCAAAGAAGAGTAGCCCCCGCTCGCCGCAACTAGAGAAAACCCGCGCACAGCAACAAAGACCCAATGCAGCCAAAAATAAATAAATTTTTTAGAAAAGAAAGAAATGAGCAATGAAAGCTATTTTTAAAGTCTACCTAACGTCAACCCTGAAAAGCCGGTCTGCAGCTTGGAGGAGCAGGGGATCTGGGGGAGCTCGAGGCGGCAGGCGTCCGTCACACGTCCCTCGTCCCCTCCATGGGAGCCCTGGGGTCCCCAGGGTGCAGGTAGGTGTAGTGGGTGTGAGCACGTACTCTTTTTTTTTTTTTCTTTTCGGTACGCGGGCCCCTCACTGTTGTGGCCTCTCTTGTTGTGGAGCACAGGCTCCGGACGCGCAGGCTCAGCGGCCATGGCTCATGGACCCAGCCGCTCCGCGGCATGTGGGATCTTCCCGGACCGGGGCACGAACCCGCGTCCCCTGCATCGGCAGGCAGACTCTCAACCACTGCGCCGCCAGGGAAGCCCCAGGAGGAACTTTTTTCCTTTGAAGGAGGCGAAATGACAGCACTGTGCTGCGAATGAAAACGTTTCAGTGACGGAGAGGAGTTCATAAATGAGAGAGGGGAAAGTTTGGGGAGTATGTCCTGGGAGGAGGGGCGGTGAAAGATAAAAGTGGAAAGAGATTGGAAAGGCTTTAGTGTCAAGATTCCCAGAGGAAAGGCTCCAGATTCACAGTGCTGACAGTTTTAGTGTCACGCATTGCCCGGGCCAGTTTCAGTCCCAGGTGTCGGGTGCAGCTCCTTTTGGAAGGGCAGTCATGGTGCAGGGCTGGACCGTGGGCCATGCACAGGGCACTCCCTTTGCTGGGTCTCTCCCTGTGGGTTTCCTCATTTCCTCTGCCCTGTTTCTCCTTCCTTCTGGGCCTGACTTTCCTTCCACTAGCTTGACTTCAGGTAGCCTCTCAAACTCTGTTCCCCCCTCCTGCTCTTATACAGCAATTCGTGGGAGAATCCGAATTCCAGACCTCACTTTCTTCGGTTTGCTCTCTTCATGTAACTCATCAACCCTGGACAGTACTCAAAATTCAAGGTCAAGGTGTGTCTAATGTCCAATTCAACAGCTTGTCAATCTCTCAAACACGCTGTATGTTTTCCACAAACTTCTACTTACGAACTCATGGTTCCTGAGACAGATGGCTAGCAGGACACCAAGCTCACTCACCAGGCGGGGCCTTCCAGCTAGTGGAGGATGAAAACGGTGGCGTGTCTTAATTCTGGGTCAAGGCTTTTAGGAATTGGGGATATCTTCTCCAAAGGTTTTTTTTTTTTTTTCCCCCTCTTCTGCTGGCTTCCTGCAGGTGACTGTATCACTCCAGGGGATGGTAGAGCCACACGAAGGATGGAGCTTGAGTCCCTAATCACTGTATGGAGAGAGCCACCCACAGAATAGGAATGTCTTCCTGGACGGTTACAATGAGTGAGAAATACACTTGATTGCGTTTGAGTCTATACATTTTGAGTCTATTTGTTATGGCAGCTGGTGCTACCTGGAGTCACTGGAAGTGTGGAACCACCATAACGGAATCTAAAATATGTGATGCCAGCTTAGCAGCTGGGCTGCAGGATGCAAGGGACTATTGGAGCTGGAAAATAGGTATCCACGTTATTAAGGGCAAAAATACTTGCCACAGTTGTTGTCTGTAAAATATGTAAATATACTGAAGCCAGAACAAATGCTCACTGACGCTGCACTTGAGGAGAAAAGAAGGGAAGAAACTGGAATATTAATTACTGTGTGCTAGTTTTTGCATGTTGTATTTAATAAGGTGTCATAAAAAAGAGATGAGTTCAGGCTAGAATGGACTGGTTTGAGCACATGAAAGGGAAGAGAGCTAGAAATCCAGAAATTGTGGCCATGGTCCAGTGGGTAAGAATCCACCTTCCAACGCAGCGGACGCGGGTTTGATCCCTGGCTGGGGAACTACGATTCCATGTGCCGTGGGGCATCTAAGCCCACGTGCCACAATGAAAGATCCCTCATGCTGCAATTAAGACCCGATGCAGCCAAAAATAAAAAAATTTTTAAAGTATGTATCTCTTAAAAAAAAAAAAAGAATTTGTGGTCTTGCAGGGCTGGATGCACCAACTCTTCCTGGACCCGACGGGAAGAAATAAGATTGAAAAAAGCCTCCAGAGACGAAGGCCAATTAAAGTTTTCAGTTAAATGGAGATTCAGCCCTGTGGAAACTCCAGGTTAGGAATGTTTCCTTCCCACTTAGGTCTGTATTTTTAGACGCTCTCAGGTGAAAGCTTTCAAGGGTCCCTGTGACCAAGCTGGGCACGGAGGGAGTGTACCTGTGAGCATCAGGGCTGTTTGTCTTCGAATTCACGTGCAAGCGGGGATGATGGAGTGCTCAGAGGAAGGAGGTTGGGCCGGAGACCAGAGGCTCAGCCCCAGGTTTTCTGGATCGCACTAACTCCCCTGGGCCTCTTAAACCTGTAGATAGGGTGGGTCCCCCAAACGTGACATTACATTCTCTGCCAACCTGTGTTTTGAGACAAATGGATTTGATTTACCAATAAAATAAAAGAAAATAGAAGAAGCAGCAGTGTTTCTTACACCTAAGGGCAGTGAGACACGCTCACACCTGTAATGGAGTTAATACAGAAAGGAAAACAGAGACACGCACCGTACCAGGACTCCCCATCATCCAGAGCAGTGTGGCACAGGCGCTTTTGCGCGGCTGGGCCAACGGAATGCCACTCAGAAGAACTAGGGGTGAACAAAGCCAGCGTTAGGTACAAGGTCACGGACAGCAATGGGAACGACACTGGCCTTGGGGTGGGACCTGCCCCTCCCTAGGAACCAGGGTCCACATTATGTGGGGAAGGGATCCTGATCGGGGCCCTGGAAATGTGCCAGTGGGTGGAAAGGCTGGTGGGAAAGTACATCTCCAAGTGCAGCTGATGCAAAAAGGCCCTCAGGACCACTGGACCCTCCTCCACGGAAGATTCTCCTGGGGCCGTCACAGTTGAACATGAACAGGGCGGCAGAAGGAGCCCAGCGAGGAGCCAGAGCGGGCTGAGATGTGGGACCTGGAACATTCCCTCTACCTCTCCTCTCGGTTTACAAGCTGACACTTGGAAGAGTGGTGATAATACCTCATGTTCACCCGTGCTTGACATTAAACATACCAAGTACCTTCTTTACAAGACCGCACTAGGAAGCCAGGTGAGCTTCTGCCAGGTAGACGAGCCCGCCTATGGGCAAGAAGGCTCAGGTGCACAGCGCCCATTGTCCTGCAAACCCAGGAGTTGCACCTCAGGTGCACGGAGTTTCTGTGACCCCCATGACCACCTGTAAACAGTTCAAATTCAGTCACCACCACTGCAGTGCTGTAGGTGATGTGTCTACCTCACCTACACCCTGTAGACCTTGTCCTGGATGGGGGTGGGGAGAACTCAGGTAGAACATCTCTCCAGTCCGGGGAAGAGCAGTACCCAGGGCCCCTCCCCAGACACCTCATGGGCCTGGGGGAGTAAGCAGCCCCTTCGGCCCTGTTCTCACAGCAGGCAGGGTCAGGGTCAGGGATCGGCTTGTGGACCAGCTCCCCATTACCCCGAGGCCGAGTGGGGTCAGAGGGGAAGCTGGTGTCCAGCCTCGAGCCAGCGAAAATGCACTTCCTTTATTTCTCCCTCTGCGTGTTTCCCAGGAGGGGGAAAAAGGGTTCGGCCCTTTTACATACCACGTTCCCTGAACCGAGAGACTCCAAATCTATTCACCGTAGGAAGCAGTCTCATTAATGTTGGTTTATCTCTTTCTCTCCATTTCCGACTGGAGAGGGAGGCTGATCTCTTCCCTCCTTTGATGGGTCTGAGGAGACAGAAGCCCAACGGACAGCAGGGATGGTGGCACAAGCCCCGCGATGGGGCCGACAGGCAGGCCCGGGCTGTGGAGTCTGCTTAATGAAGCCCCCGGCACACCGACGGCCGGGGGGGTGGTGCCTCTGTGGGAGCCGAGGACAAACGCTGCCCCGTTTCACTGAAGCTCGAGACTCGCTGCCAGGCTCCCTGGGGCCCCCCCAAGCCGTGGGTGGGCAGGAGTGGGGACGGGTTAGGGGGCCCTGCCTGAGCTGGAACAGCCCCCATCCCAGTCACCTAGGCTGCTCCCCGGGGAACGAGGAGGGGACACGTACAAGACAGGCAGCCCTCTCTGTATAATCGGGGGCCGTATAAATAGCCCAGGTGGCTGCTCTGTGATGGATGAATTTCCTGCTCCGCTCCCTCTGTCTCACTGTGGGCCACTGGGCCTCTGGCCAATGGTCAGCGATCATGAGAGAGAACACTTTAGCAACCTGCTTGGCAATGTTTCAGGGATTCTCACACCTAAAGTACTCATTGCCACCCCACCTGCACACAAACACACACACACACACACACACACACACACACACACACACACACACTCCGCTCCCTCTGTCTCACTGTGGGCCACTGGGCCTCTGGCCAATGGTCAGCGATCATGAGAGAGAACACTTTAGCAACCTGCTTGGCAATGTTTCAGGGATTCTCACACCTAAAGTACTCAATCCCCCCCCCCCCCCCCACAAACACACACACACACACACACACACACACACACACACACACACACACAGGAGCTCTTCATCACTGGGATGAAGCCTTCACCATATCACGGGATTTAAAGTTCCCATGGGAGGTAATACAGTCACTGACATAATACGACTCTGTGAAAGGTAAAGGGCACCGTGTCTTCAAGTTTGAGAGCGTGGAGGGCACAAGGGCAGAAGTAAGGTCCAGACGCAGGACAGGACCCTCCCTGAACGGGAGCCAGGAGAGAACTGTAGTCAGGCTGCCCCCTCTTCACACGTGCACAAGCCAGCCCTGGCCTCGTACCCCGTGAACCATAGGGAGGTGGGGATCAGTCAGAAAGATGAGCGGGGACTGACCTGTCACTCCAGGACCCAGTCCACTCAACTTGGCCCCAAGGGTTCCGGGCTCTGATGAGCTCTATTTGCTGGCCTCGGAAGTTTACCTAAAAGGGAAAAGCGTCAGAGAAATGTGAGATGCTAAATCCATCTGTGAGCTCCAGGGTGGGTTCTCTCCAGCTGAGGCTGGCTTTTCTGAAAGCCTGTTGACACACTAAGAACATGTCCAAACTCATCAGTTGTTAACTAGCCCTCAAAATTTCCTAATTCCGATTGAACATGATGTTACGTTAATCACCCCAGAATGCTTACGTCGCATCTGGGAAACAAAGCGGAATTGTAATGAACAAGAAGTGAGTCCACAGGAATCTTCAAACGATTGAGTTTTCTCTCTAGACTGGAACCCCCCAGAGGCAGAGGCCGAGCCTTATTTATTGTGTATCTGCAGCATCCAGCAGTCAGTCGGTCTAACACTGAGTTTTCTTCATCCTTAGCATCTGACTCCCAGGTGATCAGAATGTCAGCACATGCCGGGAGTTTAAACAACCGCAATAAACAAAAACCCACGTCTGAGTCTTCTAAATCCTATCTTCTCCCCCTTTCAGGTGTCACATGAGGGTCTCTGCTGCCACGCTGAGAGCCCTTGAGCCAGTACAGAAAGAGGACTCAGCCCTCAGGCTCTGCCCAGGGCAGGAAAGCGCACCAATGCATAGAGAGGTTTTGGGGGTGGAAGGGTGAGAGTCAAAGACCTCGATTCATCAACGATCCAGGAATTTTAGTTCTCAGAACACTTTACCCTCAGACCTTTGGCATAAATTTTCTCTTTTTACGTGCAAAATCATTTAAGTGAGTATGACCTCTCCAGAGTCCAAGTTCGCCATGAAAGAGGTTCATTCGTTGAAATGTCTGGGGAGGTGAATTCCTTACAGGTGGAAAGGAAGCAAACGCAATTGAACAGAGCGTCATACGATGGGAAGGTTCCTGCCATCACTTAGAATAACATTTAGAAGATCTGACATCAGGAATCACAGGCCTGCTCAAGTGAGTGATTGGAAGGCGTGTGTAGACAGGGAGGGGCGAGGAGGGAGCTAACACTCCAAAGAGTCCAGCTGCATCTCCCTCTTGGGCACGAAGCTCACGCCACCCGCTGAGGGGGAGGGACAGGCTCCCTCTGCACCCCGTGCTCCCCACTCATTTGGAGCATGTCGCTCAAAACATGGCAGCCGCTGGAAGAGACCAGAGGTGCCCAGGTCCCCTACCGACTGGGTTTGAGATTCACCCAAGTGGGGCACGAGGGAAACGCTTTGGACTTCACTGAACTTGACCCTGCAAGGGCGCCACCCTCTGCTTCTCATCTTCCTCTCTCATCTCACTTTCTCCCCTCCTCTTTCCCGTGAACTCCTCCAAACAAAGCACTCACCGGGAGTCACAGTGGTGCCATGTGGGGTCTGGGTGCCCCCCTTCCCCGTCCCGGGGATTAGTTCCACCCTGAACTACAGCTGCAGAGAATAGGACTTGTGATGGTTAATTTTATGTGTCAACTTGACTGGGCCATGGCGTGCCTAGATGTTTGGTTATGCATTATTCTGGGTGTGTCTGTGAAGGTGTTTCTGGATGAGATGGGCATCTGAACTGGTAGGCTGAGTACAGCAGATGGCCTTCCCCATTGTGTGTGGGCCCCATCTAATCAGCTGAAGGTCCAAAAAGAACAAAAAGGCAAAGGAAGGGATCATTTGCCCCCTCTGCCTGACTGCTGAGCTGGGACTTTGGTCCTTTTCTGCTCTTGGGCTGGGACTTACTGATTCTCCTGGTTCTTAGGCTCTTGGGCTGGGACTGGAACTCCACCACTGGCTCCAGCTCGTGGAATGCAGGGCTTCTCGGCCTCTATAATCAGGTGAGCAATTCCGACTACTAAGTTTTCATATACAGATTTAGCCTATGGGTGCTGCTTCTCTGGAGAACCGTGACTATGACAGGACTGATGTGGAATCAGGGAAGAAAAGAACAGAAAAAACAAAGACGAGGTTCTCGCAGCTGCTGGCCAAGTTTATACTGTGCCGGCCTCACAGGTCTCTCTCTCTCCTCTCTCTGTTCTCTCTCTCTGTCTCTCCCATTTGCTGTTTTGAATTCCAGCCTTTCTTCTTTGGATGAGACATCCTCTGTCATGTCCGAAAGTGCAGTTTAAGCTGCAATGCGCTATATAGGTTTACGAAGTCTGTCCCCATAACCCTGTCAACAGGGGTCCCTGTCGCCTACCTGGTCAATGCCCGTCACTGTGTAGGCATGACCGCTAATGAGACCAAAAGGTGTCCGGGCTTCAGATTCTGCAGCATTTCTGATCTAAAACAAAAAAGGAGCAGTATCTATGTCAAACCTTTCCCAGCTGGCCAGACACAGCTCTGTGTCTGGCCCAGTCCCTCCTGCCCCCTCAGGTGAGGGCCCTGTGAGTGGGCATATTAAATGGGTGCACGGGAAGCCCCCTAAGTGGTTAGCAGTGACATACAGTGATTCCCAGCCTCTTCCCAGGGTGGAGGCCCCTCATTCTCTGCTTGGACTTCACGGAAGAGCTTACATTCTTGCCCCCAAACAGGAAAACCTGACCTTTCCCACCACGTAGCAACGGCAAGGGACAGACACCAAAGAGGCGGTAAGAAGAATATAACCCTATGACATGCAATTCTATGTCACAAACTTGAAAAAGTAGAGGAAATTTACTAGCAAAGGGTAAATTCCCCAGGTTAATCCAAGAGGAAATAGAAAAGTTGAATAGGCTTCAAAAAATAGATGAGGTAAAATTACATGCGTGTGTTTGTATGCATAAAGAAATTAGAAAAAATGCTGTTCTGTTTCTATCCACGGATATATTTTTTCATGATCTATGACGTGAAAGAGACAAGTTTCAGGAAAGTGTATAGTAAGATTCCATTCAGTTAACACCGCCCCCGAGTCTGTGCATATATGCGCGTGCCTGTTGCACGAGCGAAAACAGAGGCGTGACGAGCACCGGAGAGGCGTCCCGGCGTGGACCGGAGGAGGGAGACAGAGTTTTGCCCTGTCCATCGTCTCAGGATTCTTCCACCTGATACAGCAAGGGCGCCTTACCTCTGCAACTCGAAAACCATTAAACACAAACGTTTGTTTTAATTAAAATAAATAAGCATTGCCCCCGTCTTCCTGCAATGTATGCCTCTTCCGTGGGCAGCCTGGCATCTGAGCCTAGAACAGTGCCTGGGATGCGGCCAGCCAGTGACTTACGTCAATGGAGCAGCCCACCAGACAGCCCCTCTTTAAGGCCTTGTCTAGAATCTCAGAGAAGTTCCCGGGAGCCTCCTTGGTTGTGAAGGTCTCTGCCACGCCCGCGGTGAAGTCCTCTGTGGCCTCGATGGCGCTGCCCCCCTTCAGAGCCTCGTAGCTCCCGTTCAGCCTGTGAGGGCGGCAAGAAAGCCTGGCAACGGCTGCAGGGAACAAGGATCACCACTAGGTGGCGCCCCTCAGCCAGAGTTTTTCTAACCAAGAAGCACCTCCCGGGGCTCGCCCCCGGCTGGAGGTGTGGAAGAACGTGGGAAGCAGGGATGGGGTTTACTTGGAGCTCTGAGGAAACCAGACATGCTGAGAACTCTGTGAGAGAGACAGTGGGTGTGGTAAGGAGACAGGCGGGGACCTGGGACCCTTGGCTGCAGGGCTGCCGTGCTGGCACCTGGACACACCTCTCCTTGAGCAACAAAATACAAAGAAACTGTATGGGACTAAAAATAACCACGTGCGTGCACAGTTGAGACAAATTCTGGACAAAAGAGACCAAGAAAAATAACCAACTGCCACTTTTGAAGAGCCGCGAGCAAAAGCAGGGCACTGCGCACGCCCCCTGCACGCAACGCCACCTAAGGGGTGGGCAGACCGCCTAAGCCACGCCTCCGGCCCGACCCCTGGACGCACAGCGATCCTCACCCCGTATAAGGAGCAAGCTCGCCGCCCATCTCCCCAGGGAGAAAGCAAGCAAGGAAGCATGTTGCTTGATCTCGCTGCCCCCTGCTGCAGCAGGGGCCCCCATGAAGCCTTGCCTGACTTTCCTGTCTGGCCGCTGATCAGCTTCTATTGCTTAAGGAGGCCGAGAATCCTGGTCCCTGACAGACTGCAGGTCCAAGTGCCAGTTCCCCCACTCACAAGCTGAGGGATGCTGGACCAACTCGCTCAGTGCTTCAGTTTCCTAATTTTCAAAATGGGGTTGCACTCTTCCTCCTAGGGCTGCTGTGAGGTTTAAATGAGCCTCCTCTCATCACACGTGGAATGGGGGCCTGAGCATGAAGCTGTTAGTTGTATGAGACCGAGAGGGAGATGGAGGCATTTCTCTTGCTTTCTGGACCCATGTAGTCCCAGCCGCTTTTCTCTCTTCATCTCTTTGATTAATACGGCTGTACATTAACATCTTACATCGGTGTGGTGCATTTGTTACAGTGACTGAACCAGTTCGTCATTGTTATTAAAGTTCACACCATATTCACGTTTCCTTAGTTTTCACCTAATGTGCTTTTTCTGTTGGAAGATCCCATTGCAGGATCCCACATCATCACACTTAGTCAAGTCTCCTGAGGCTCCTCTGGCCAGAGACAGTTTCTCAGGCTTTCCTTGTTTTTGATGACCTGGACAGTTTTTTTTTTTGTTGTTGTTGTTGTTTTTTACATCTTTATTGGAGTATAACTGCTTTACAATGGTGTGTTAGTTTCTGCTGTATAACAAAGTGAATCAGTTATACATATACGTATCTCCCCATATCTCTTCCCTCTTGTGTCTCCCTCCCTCCCAGGCCTGGACAGTTTTGAGGCACTGTCGGTGTTCTGTAGAATGTTCCTCAGCTGGGATCTGTCTGCTGGTTTTCTCATGCATAGACTGCGGTGAAATACCATTCTCATCACGTCCTGTCGAGCATACATCGTGTCTTCATGACTTGTCACTGTTGATGTCGCCTTGATCACTGGCTGAGGTCTCCTGTCTGTCATGTTTCTCCTCGGTGAGCTTCCGCTCCCCCCACCCCCCATTACTGTCCTCTTTGGAAGGACTTAGGAGTGGGGGTCATGCTAGACCTTCTTGAGGGCAGAGCGTCTACATAAATTCCCCGGAATTCTTCTATGTGGCAAATTTGTCTCTTCTCCCCCATTTATTTATTCAATGATTTATTTACATCAGTATGGACTCATGAATATTAATTTTATACTTTGATTTATAATCCAGTACCATTTTACTTATTTTGCTGCTCTAATTGTTCCAGCTTTGGCTACTTTCGGCTCCTTCAGTTGGCTCCTGTGTCCCTTTGGCATAACTCCATCACTGTGTGTGTGTGTGTGTGTGTGTGTGTGTGTGTGTGTGTGTGTGCATGTGTGTTTAAAGCATACACACACACATTCACTTCCTGACACTGCAAGATACTCTAGGCTCATCTTCTGTATTTCTTGCCCCAGTTCTACAATCAGCCTTATCTCCAAGGAGCCCTGGTTCCTTTGATTGGAGAATGGTGTTAGGAACCAAGACCTGAGAAGTAAGAGTGCTTGTTGCTATGGGATTGTCGTTGCTTCTAGGCCCTCTCAGCTGATAAACAACGAAATAATACCTGTGTACTAACCCATGAGTGACGCATATACTCATCAACGTGTAACCATCTCTATTCAACTAAACCTGAGTTCATACTGAGGTCCCCAACTCTGACACACTACCACTTATATCATTCTAGCCTCCTCCACCAGGCTTCTTTGTAAGCTCTCCCTCCAACGATGAGAAACCTGGCTTCCCCCATCTGCCACCCATTTACTTAATTGTTCAATTCAGTACATATGTATAATGGTATCGGAATTGTTGTCCTGTACCCCACGAGAAACAACTTTACCAGCTAGTGTACAGTGCTTGTGTACAATCTCTCTGTCCTTCTTTCTTCCTTTTGCCCCGCGGCATGTGGGATCTTAGTTCCACGACCAGGGGTGGAACCCTCGCCCCCTGTATTAGGAAGCGCAGAGTCTTAACCACTGGACCACTAGGGAAGTCCCAGTCTCTCTGGCTTTCAATCTCACAGACTGCACTCATTTCCAGAGTTACTTAGGTCAGCGCCTTTCTCGCCTACACCTTCAATGAGTTTGTTTCATAGATTTGTAATAGATTGTTTTGTCACAGGCTGCTTTTCATTCTGGGATTCCTTTCCTCCTAGATGATTTTTAAGTTCATATATATTAAGGTTCACTCTTTGTGCTGTAAAGTTCTGTGGGTCTGATAAATGCATGGTGTCATATATTCACCATTACAGTATCATATAGAATAGTTTCATTGCCCTAAGAAAAACCTCTGTGCTCTATATATTCATCTTTCCTTCCCTCCTTCCTTCCCCCCCAAGCCCTCAACAACCACTGATCTTTTTTATTTTTATGTCTGAAACACTCCTTTATTCCAGTTACTCTTCTAACTGCCTTGCTCCAACTACAAGTAAGCTTTCATCTAGCCAGAATCTCCTTTTTTTTTTTTAACATCTTTATTGGAGTAGGATTGCTTTACAATGGTGTGTTAGTTTCTGCTGTATAACAAAGTGAGTCAGCTATACGTATACCTATATCTCCATATCCCCTCCCTCTTGCGTCTCCCTCCCACCCTCCCTATCCCACCCCTCCAGGCGGTCACAAAGCACCGAGCTGATCTCCCTGTGCTATGCAGCTGCTTCCCACTAGCTATCTATTTCACATTTGGTGGTGTATATATGTCCATGCCACTCTCTCACTTCGTCCCAGCTTACCCTTCCCCCTCCGTGTGTCCTCAAGTCCATTCTCTACGTCTGCATCTTTATTCCTGTCCTGCCCCGAGGTTCATCACAACCTTTTTTTTTTTTTTAGATTCCATATATATGTGTTAGCATACGGTATTTGCTTTTCTCTTTCTGACTTACTTCACTCTGTATGACAGGTTCTAGGTCCACCCACCTCACTACAAATAACTCAATTTCGTTTATTTTTATGGCTGAGTAATATTCCATCGTATATATGTGCCACATCTTCTTTATACATTCATCTGTCGATGGACACTTAAGTTGCTTCCATGTGCTGGCTATTGTAAATAGGGCTGCAATGGACATTGTGGTACATGACTCTTTTTGAATTATGGTTTTCTCAGGGTATATGCCCAGTAGTGGGATTGCTGGGTTGTATGGTAGTTCTATTTTTAGTTTACTGAGGAACCTCCATACTGTTCTCCATATTGGCTGTATCAATTTACATTCCCGCCAACAGTGCAAGAGGGTTCCCTTTTCTCCACACCGTCTCCAGCATTTATTGTTTGTAGAGTTTTTGATGATGGCCATTCTGACTGGTATGAGGTCAGTATAGTTATTTTCACAATGTTGATTCTTCCAATCCAAGAACATGGTATATCTCTCCATCTGTTTGAATCATCTTTAATTTCTTTCATCAGTGTCTTATAGTTTTCTGCATACAGGTCTTTTGTCTCCTTAGGTAGGTTTATTCCTAGGTGTTTTATTCTTTTTGTTGCAGTGGTAAATGGGAGTGTTTCCTTAATTTCTCTTCCAGATTTTTCATCATTAGTGTATAGGAATGCAAGAGATTTCTGCGCATTAATTTGTATCCTGCAACGTTACCAAATTCATTGATTAGCGCTAGTAGTTTTCTGGTAGCATCTTCAGGATTCTCTATGTATAGTATCATGTGATCTGCAAACAGTGACAGCTTTACTTCTTTTCCGATTTGGATTCCTTTTATTTCCTTTTCTTCTTTGATTGCTGTGGCTAAAACTTCCAAAACTATGTTGAATAAGTGTGGTGAGAGTGGACATCCTTGTCTTGTTCCTGATCTTAGTGGAAAAGGTTTCAGATTTTCACCATCGAGGACGATGTTGGCTGTGGGTTTGTCATATTTGGCCTTTATTATGTTGAGGAAAGTTCCCTCTATGCCTACTTTCTGGAGGGTTTTTATCATAAATGGGTGTTGAATATTGTCAAAAGCTTTCTCTGCATCTATTGAGATGATCATATGGTTTTTCTCCTTCAATTTGTTAATATGGTGTATCACGCTGATTGTTTTGCATACATTGAAGAATCCTTGCATTCCTGGGATAAACCTCACTTGATGATGGTGTATGATGATTTTAATGTGCTGTTGGATTCTCTTTGCTAGTATTTTGTTGAGGATTTTTGCATCTATGTTCATCAGTGATATTGGCCTGTAGTTTCCTTTCTTTGTGACATCCTTCTCTGGTTTTGGTATCAGGGTGATGGTGGCGTCGTAGAGTGAGTTTGGGAGTGTTCCTCCCTCTGCTATATTTTGGAAGAGTTTGAGAAGGACGGGTGTTAGCTCTTCTCTAAATGTTTGATAGAATTCGCCTGTGAAGCCATCTGGTCCTGGTCTTATGTGTGTTGGAAGTTGTTTAATCACAGTTTCCATTTCAGTGCTTGTGATTGGTCTCTTTCTATTACCACCGATCTTTTTACCATCACCATAGGTTTGCCTTTTCAAGAATGTCATATTTTTGGAATTATCTAGTATGCAGCCTTTTCAGATTGGCTTCTTTCATTTAGCAATATGCTTCTAACATTCATCCATATCTTTTCATGCTTGACGGCTCATTTTTTTTAATGACTGAAGAATATTCCATTGCCTGAATGTACCACAGCTTGTTTATCCATTCATTCTGAAGCACATCTAGGTTGCTTCCAGTTTCTGGATCTCATTTACCAAAGAGTATGATGGCTGCATCTTTTGGTAAGATGATGTTTAGTTTTGTAAGGATCTGCCAAATTGTCTTCCGAAATGGCTGACGGGTTTGCATCCCCACCAGCAACGCACGAGAGCTCCTGTTACTCCACAGCCCAGTCAGCAGTTGGTATCGTAGGTACGTAGTGATATTTCATCATTGTCTTAATTTGCAATTTCCTAATGACAAATGATGTTGAGCATCTTTCCATACGCTTATTTGCATCTGTACATCTATTTCGGTAAGGTGTCCTCCCAACCACTTTTGGCCTCTTTTTTTTTTTTGCGGTACGCGGGCCTCTCACTGCTGTGGCCTCTCCCGTTGCGGAGCACAGGCTACAAATGCGCAGGCTCAGCGGCCATGGCTCACGGGCTCAGCCGCTCCGCGGCATGTGGGATCCTCCCGGACTGGGGCACGAACCCGCGTCCCCTGCATCGGCAGGCGGACTCTCAACCACTGCGCCACCAGGGAAGCCCAACCACCATTTTTTAAAGAGTAAAAGAAGGAATATTCTGAAGGGGGAAAACATAATGCCTTGATATCCACGTGGTTAATAACCCAGGTGTCTGAGCTGCGACTGCTTGACCGGAAGTCTGGAGAACCAAGTTTTATCAACACAGCCCGAATCTCCCTCTGCTTGCCCTCCCCGCTCTTCCAAAGGCCAGACTTGTGGGCCAGGGAAAGAAAGGGGACACGTGTCACCACTGTGCTCGAGGGTGGGCACACCTAGGCCATGACAGGAAGACTATTCTGGCTGCTCCTTTTCTACCACCAACCCTGAGCGAGCTCCAGCTAGGTGGGCCCCAGTGAGCCACACTGGTACACCCAGACCCTCTGTCTCACTCTCTGAGGGTGCTCCAGGCAAAGGAGCGGGGGCTTCCTGGGCCTGGGCCTGTGGGCAAGCGGGGAACACTCACTTAGCGTCGGCTTTCTCCAGCAAGGTGCTCCAGAACTCGCTGCAGTTGGCGGAGTGCAGGAAGACCAAGCGGTCCCTGAAGGTGGGCAGCCGGTCAGCGATCACCAGGTCCAGCCACTGGCTGGGCTGCTAGAACTATAGCCAGGGTGGAGGCGGAAACTGAGTGGGGAGGCCCTCGGGAGGCCCACCCCACCTGCAAATGCTGACGGCTTTCCTCCCCTCAACTGGACCATGCTGCCCTGCGGTCGAGGAAATCCACTCCTGGGTGCCATGGGGGGGGGGGCCACCTGGACCTGGAGCTGAGCTGGCCCACCAGTGACACAGGCTGAAGGCTCGGTGTTCCCACGAAAGACTGGGGCCAGCAGGACAGGGTCCTCCGTGGACCCCCCACGGCCCTGCATCAGCTCCTCTCTCACAGGGGTGGGCGATGCAGGCTTGGTCTGCCCACAGCTGGACCTCCACTTCTCCCTGCATGCAGGTCCATGTTCTGACCCAGGTGTTCCCTCCTCACCTGGAGGTGAAGCCTCTAAGACAGAGAGAGGCTGCCAGGTGTGACACGTGAGGGGCGCGTGTGTGTGCACATATGTGCCTGCACGTGTGTTCTTCTTTTTTTAATTTTAATTTTCTATTGGAGTATAGCTGATTAACAATGTTGTGATAGTTTCAGGTGCACAGCAGAGGGACTCAGCCATACATATACCTGTATCCATTCTCCCCCAGACTCCCCTCCCATCCAGGCTGCCACATAACATTGAGCCGAGTTCCCTGCTGCACGTGTGTTCTTACACTCTCACACACATGTGCTTGTGTGTTCGTGCACTGTGTGCAAGTGCTTGCATGCCTCCTTGCGTGCACATGTGTGTGTGTTCCTTGTCACCCAGTTGGCCGAGAGGGAGATCTAAGGGAAGAAGACAGAGACAGAGAGGGTCGGCCGTGGCCCCAGAGCCATTTATTTGCGGTGCTGCTGGGCGTCTTGAGCATCCTCGGGCTCAGTGACTCGTAGTGGGCCAGCCCTCTCCTGGCAGAGTTGTGTGCATTTAAGGAATATGCCCCTCTGGGCCCTAGTAAGGGGCCCGAGCGGTATGTGTGGGAGCACCGTGTGGGCACACTGCCACCGGCCCCAGCTGGGCTCCCCCTGGGGCTTCATCCTCCCAACCCGTGTCACCCCAGGCTTCCTTGGGGGCAGAGGCACTCTGGAGCAATGTGCTTGCTGGCCGGGCTGGGCCTCGGGCTCCCTGGAGCCGGGGCCAGGGTTGGGGGTGCTCAGGGCTGGCTTTCCAAGGGAGCGATGCCTCAGGTGGCAGAGAGAGGGCCCCATCAGCCCGGGGGGGCAGGAGTGTGGGTGAGGACAGCAGGGGAGAGGGAGGAGGGGCTCACTTCCAGCGCCCCTCTCCCCACGGGAGAGATGACAGTACTGTCACCAGACATCAGCAGGTGACTGACAGGCACCCAGCAGGGTCAGGCCCTACCTGATGAGAAGCAGCGAAAGGGCTGGAATCAGAACTCAGATTGAGGCTGCAGAGAGGGAAGGGCTGGGCTGGCCCAGAGGAGAAGGGGCGGTGCTGGGCCGAAGGGGAAGGACGAGGGCTGTGTCTTCACCTGCGCCTCCTTTGAAGGATCCCTTTTTGTTCTAGGAGAGCCTGCAACGTCATTTCTCCTTTTTCCAGGTAGTATGCGAAGGCCCAGGGTCACCACGAAAACTGTGTGAGGTCCCCACATAGTAAGCAGAGGGGCATGTGTCAATAGCTGGTCAGAGCTTCTGCAGGGCTGGGGGTGGAGGAAGGAGCCGGTGAAAGGGAGGTGAGAACACATAGGCGAACCCCGGGGCAGGCGCCCCCAGGGGACCCCGACAGGAGAGGCCGCTGTGATACTCCCAGCTTTTACTTTTAAGCTCACTCATGTCTCCAAACCTATATTCCTTTAATAAGGAGACTCAGTTTGTGAGAAACAATCCAGTTCCCAGGAGGTATAGTCGTTTGAGACCATTTATGCTTAAAGCCCAAGAAACTCCAGCTACTAAAACCCTTAACAAATGGGCCTCCAGATTTGCCAAAACACCTCTTAGGCTTTTCCTGCATACTCCCTGAAAGGGTTCACGGCAGAACGCCTGCAAGGCTCTCCTAACACTTCGGGGGTTATTCCTTGACGAAGTGCAGTTGGGTCTAGGGGCGCTTCCTTCCAGGGTTCCCACGCAGCTGGAGAGACCCGTGGCATCACACTGGGCCCCTAAGAGGTCAGTCCACTGGCCAGGGGTCCTCCTTACCTGGAAGTGGAATATCCCTGCTTAACCCGGGCCGAAGCTTTGGTCCTGGGGGACAACTCTAGCCAGTGCTTTTTCATTAAGCGTAAGGGAGACAACGGCAGCTAACAGCCAGCGGTCGCCTGCAGAATGAAAGCCAGAAATCAGTTTTCGCCACCAGTTCACAAGAAACAGGAAAACTCGAGGCCAGAAAGGGATGTGGGGCGTTGCAGATGTGGCCACATCTTTTCTGTATTTAAAAGAGTGGACAGAATCAGAAGAGCAGCAAATACCTCTGTCCTCCCTTCTGCTTCCCTTCCTGACTCTTCTCTTGCCCAGTTTGTTGTAAACAACTGTCATTGTCTTGGCAGTGTTACAGGATATGCTTGCTTGGATTTCAGACATACTTGCACATTAGCGCTGTGAAGTTCCAGAGCCATCCCTTCCGGGGGCGGAGGCTGCAGACCATAGCATCAGCAGGTGAAAGACCCCCCGCTTTGGGGGGGTCTCAGAGATAGCGCCCTGCAGTGCCTGGGGAGGACGTTTCTGGGACCGATGCCTCCCCCCAGCCTAGACTCAGTTTAGTTATAGATAACGGTAGCTCTGTGGGTATTTGCTTTCAATTACCTTGCATTTTCAAGATCTGTTGACTGATCTACTGATTTCCCCAACTACGTCTTCATGGTAACACACATGTGGAGGAAAACTCCAAAGCGAAATCAAACATGAGACGATATTTGGTCCGTGTCGTGCCAGACTCCTGCAGCCTCCATCCGCCTGTCTTGAGAACGGAGCGAGCGCCGCCTCTGTGTCCAGCCGTGTTTCGATGCTGCCTATGAAACACGTGTGAGCAGAGGTCTAGAAGGATCCAGTTAAGTGGCAGGGCGGGACCTCCACGTTTATACCACATCTGTTTGCTTTCTGTAGATAACGCCACTGCCAGTGGAGCTCGAGACCCCAGCACACTCCGCTGGGCCTCCTTAGAGCGCACAGCCCTGGGAAGTGCCATGTGCGCTGGACTCGGGCCTTGTCAAATGACCTCTCGTGCTTGTTGACCACCGGCAAGAGACTCACAGAAGGCCTCGTGTCAGTAAAGCTGCTTCGGAGGCCCTCCGCTTCTGGCTTGCCCTAGGGTGTCGCCAGTGGGGCGCCTACCACCGGTTCCTGATGCATTAGCTGGTCTTTGGCAGCTGGGGCCTAGCTTTGGCGGGGGTGGGGTGCAGTGCAGAGGGGAAGGGACAGAGGCTGGAGGCTCTCAGCACCCTTTGTTCTGCAGAGTTGACCATGTACCCTCCAGGTGACCGTCCCTGCTTTCAGCTCTCAGTGGCCAGGGCGGGCCAGGGCTGGACGGAGTGAGCTCCTGCTGTGAGCTGACCTCCTCCAGCCTCTTCTCCAAGTTTTGCCTTTGCCAGCGTAGGGAATTGTGTGTATTTTCTTGGTACGCGGGCCTCTCACTGCCGCGGCCTCTCCCGTCGCGGAGCACAGGCTCCGGACGCGCAGGCTCAGCGGCCGTGGCTCATGGGCCCAGCTGCTCCGCGGCACGTGGGATCCTCCTGGACCGGGGCACGAACCCGTCTCCCCTGCATCGGCAGGCGGACTCTCAACCACTGCACCACCAGGGAAGCCCTGCTCTGAGCTTTGGAAGGGGGAGGTTCAGAAGCCAAAGTTATTTACACAATTTAAACAAAGGGAAAAACGAGATCGCTTTATCTCTGTTGGGTGGGCACCGATGGGCGAGATCAGCCACACTAGCACTGCACCCAGGTCAGCAGACGGCACCCCTGCCGGTCAGTTTGTCGGACAGCTGGGTGGAAGGTTGCACGCAGGGGGCGCTAACGGGCGGGGGCCAGGCAACGGGGCAGTCCTGTTCTGCTTCTCTTTTGGGGCTGCAGGGCCATTTTATGGTGACCCTTCATAAGGTACACATATGCTATGAACAGTATTGGATGTAATGGAAGTGTTACAAAATGATATTTTGTACCAACCAACCATACACATTTACACCAATGTGACAAACCAAAACTGTGAAAAATAAAGGCACCCGTTCCATGATTTTCTATTGAAGAGCAATGCAGGGGCGTAGGGGGACGGCAGGCAGAGGAAGAGGTGGGTGGAGAAACGAGAGGGGAGACGTGGGAGCTGGGGCAGGGAGACCCTCCTAGGGGCGGCACCTCGGTAAATGAATGCCGATCTGAATGCAATCTTTTTGAGAGGTCAAAGTTACATCTAGAGCATATAATTCCACCATCCAGCTCTGTGTGGTCTATCTATGATCCACCATCTCTGTCTTTCAGCTGTCATCCCTCTAGCTTTGTGGCTTCTGGGTTCTGTGCGAGGGGAGCTTGGTCACTCAACATGGAGGTTCCAGCATGGCCCACTTTAACCATTAGACCATAGTGGTGGTAGCTCGGCTGTAAGTAAGTTTGCTCCACTGGTATGTTTTTTAGGTCTCTCTCTTTCTCTTCTTCTTCTTTTTTTTTTTTTTTTTTTTTTTTTTTTTTTTTTTTTTTTTTTTTTTTTTTTTTTTTTTTTACATAGATAGAATAAAGGTAAACCCAGCCCAATTTTGGACTAAATCCTGAAATGTAGGGCCCAGTTTAACTGGCTTGGGGACACTCTCAATTCAATTGCGGGAAGGAGATTGGGTTGCTTCGGTGGCGAGTGGGACTTCCCCAAAGTATGAGCCCCCTGAGAGGTTAAGAGCCAGTTCGGATCCTGACTCTGCCGGTCTCTCACTCCTGTGACTTTGGATAAGTCACTTAGCTTCCCTCAGATCTGGTTTCTCTTCTGTAAAATTGGAAGGGTGGTTGGCAAGATGAAATGGGGTGACGTGCACTTAGGAGAATGCCTGGCAGGCGCCGAGTTCATATATGTGAGTGTTAGCCTTGGTCACGGTGCAGGAAAGCCAGGCCAGGGCACCGGGAATCTCTGTTCTCTGTAAACTCCTGGGCTGCGAGCCTGGACCAGAGGGGCATCCACCCGCCGGAGGAACAAGGATGCAGGGGGCTTGGAGTCCCTGGGTTCCATTCAGCTGTGGCCAGACCAGGAGACTGGGAAGGAGGGAGGGGGAGGGAGGTGGCAGAGGGCGGTCACAGTGATGCTGCCCCAACTCTTGTGCCCCTGGGTTCTCAGGGACCCAGTGCTGTTCCTGCTGGCCCCCACGGGATGGTCTGCCCAGCTCCCTCTCTCCACACTCCATCCCCCACACTTACCAAGCTCCCCCTGGCAGATGTCTGTCCTGGTGGCCCCTCCAAGAAAGAATTCTGGGCTTTTCACTATTTCCTGGAAGAAGGAAAGCATCATTAAAGTGAGGCCCAGTGCGTGGAGGGCCGGCATGATGGAGCAGGCCCAGGGGCTCTTTCCTTCCTCGGAGCAGAGGGCTGTTTTCCTATATTTGATTTTTCCCAAGGAGGGACAAGAATAGGTGAAAGACAGCTGTGACCCTGTTCCTCGCAGACCTGGGTTTGTTGCTGGTTGGTCACACCCCTGGGGAGAGGCCCTGCCTTCTGAACAGCACCCCCATGCGCCCTCTGACCGGATAGACTCCCGACCCTCCTGGCTGCACAGCGGACCACGCACTGAGGCTTCACATCGCCGCTCAGGGGCCCTGGGCTAGGAGCCGGGGCCACAGGTTTGAACGCCAGCTCCACACTTAAGAGCTTTGTGCCCTCTGTGGGCTTCAAATTCCTCCTGTTAGAGTGAAGTAATACCCACACCACAGGCCTGGGATTCAGCACAAATTCCCCCTCACCCCCTCCAGCTTCTTTCTCTTTTTAACTACACATTTAAGTGAAAATTTTTATATATCTATAGATTATGTGCACATATCGCTCATATAATTTTATCACAGCGCATTATATATTTTATTATCTATTACACACAATCATATAGAATTATATATATATAAAACATGGAGAGATATGTGTATGTGTAAGACATACACATATTGTAATGTGTAAGACATTAACAAAAGGTTTTTGAGAGCAGTTATATAAAATTCATATCTTCTTTCCATATTTTGAGGCAGCAGGCTCCATTCCTGGCGTGGACTACAGTAAAAGGAACAAGAGAGAGAAAGTCCCTGCAGAGGGGCTGGGACAAGACCCCCAAACAGATGTACAAACAGATGTACAAACAGCCCATCCCCCGCCGTCACTCTGTCCTGGTGCTGGGGAGGGACAAAGCACCAGGACAGAGTGACGACAGGGGATGGGCTGTTTCAGAGGCAGCGGGCAGTTGAGAGGCATCGTGTGACCGTCCAGGGAGGGGAATCAGCAAATCAGGGGATGTGGATGAAAGTTCTGCACACAGCGGACGCCCCATCATTTTTTTTTTTTTCTATTTTGGCTGTGTTGGGTCTTTGTTGCTGTGCGCGGGCTTTCTCTAGTTGTGGCGAGTGGGGGTTACTCTTCGTTGCGGTGCGTAGTCTTCTCATTGCAGTGGCTTCTCTTGTTGCAGAGCATGGGCTCTAGGTGCTCGGGCTTCAGTAATTATGGCACGCAGGCTCAGTAGTTGTGGCACACGGGCTTAGTTGCTCTGCGGCATGTGGGATCTTCCCGGACCAGGGCTCGAACTCGTGTCCCCTGCCTGGGCAGGCGGATGCTTAACCACTGCGCCACCAGGGAAGTCCCCCATCATTTTAACTGGGTGCAAATGCACTTAGGTGAGTGAGGGACTTTCCCCACCTATTTCCAGAAATGAGGGCTGGAGACAGCCACTCGCCACCAGGTCTGGGTGGACACCTGGGGAAGAGCTTTGTCCTTAACTGCTTTCCACAAGCTTCCCAGGACCCTGCTTCTCCTCTGATCTGTGTCTTAAAGGGCCAGAAGAGGGTGGTGATTTCTTTGAAGGAAGGAGGAATTCCCAGGCTAAAGTGTGGAATGATGGGGCTCTCTTTGCAGCCTCCAGGATGTGCCAGCCCAGGGGTTTATTAGTTTAAAAAATATCCCAGGGACTTCCCCGGTGGTCCAGTGGTTAAGAATCCGTCTTCCAACACAGGGGACATGGGTTCGATCCCTGGTCGGGGAACTAAGATCCCACATGCCCCAGGGCAACTAAGCCCGCGCGTTCCAACTACTGAGCCCGCGCGCCTCAACTAGAGAGAAGTCTGCGCGCTGCAAAGAAGATCCCGCGTGCCGCAACTAAGACCCGACACAGCTAAATAAATTAAAAAAATAAAAATATCCCAGCAAACTCAGCCAGGAGATTTTCTGAAGAGCACTGTGCCATTGATGTAGGACAAACCCAGGCCTGGCAGAGGGCTGGCTGACATCCTGAACACCAGCCCTAGAATTCCTGCCTCTTTCCAGGTAACCTCGGGAGTCTTGGCATCATATGATGGCAGGAAGGGCAGCTGCAGCTGAGGGACAGCTCCTTTGTGCCCATGCTCTGTCTTGCCCGTGAGGATCCCCCCGCCCCCATGTTCTCTCTCTCTCTCCTTGACCTCAGCGCCCAAGGGCGTTTGCACGTGGGAAGGCGCAAACCAGGGAAGTGAGAGTGGTCCCAGCAGCAGCCCTCCCTGATCGGTGGGTCAGGCCAGCCATCTGACTTCTCCAGGCTGTGTTCTTATCTGTCACTTGAGACATATACCCCCCTCCTCCAGATGGGGCATTTTGGCTGGTGGTAGAATCCGTATTGGAGCCCCTGCCCGCAAGGGCACCCCAGGAGTCCCCAGAGCCCTGTTGCGCGGCCCCCAAGCCCTCCCAGGGGAGTTGCTCCAGCGCCGGCATGACCAGCAGCGCGTGTAGAATGGAGTCTGAAGGTTGGCAGAGTGCTGCCCAGCCCCGGGCCAGATGCTGGGACCCCTGGCACACGATGGGCTGTGGGCATGAAGGCCCCTCCTCCCCTCCCTGCTGTCCGCCCCTCCCCGACTTCTGCGGCCTTGCCCGCCTCACTAACTCCACCAACTGCACCTGCAGGTGCCCCCGCCTCCCAGCTCTTGTTTTGCAACTGGTTGTTTCTGTCCAGGAGAATTTTATCAAATTGCATCAAACTGTGCACTGAGGGAGAAAAATACAAAAAAGAGAAAACTCAGTAATTCTCAACAAGCCAATGCCAATCAGCCATCAGGTATAAGCTGGTGAGATCGTCACGTGTGACGGATGCCTCTGTCTGTCCAGCGCTGCCGTGAGTCGACGCAGCCCTGTGCCGGTCACAGGGTTCTGTGCGCGCGTGTGTGAAGGGGCGCTGTGTGGGCGTGTCGGATGCCCATGTGCCATGTGGCACGTGTGCTGACGGGTGTGGGTGCCTCCTCTGCTGAATGTGTGACGTGTGTAGGCATGTCGAGTGCATGGGCTCACGCGTGTGCCCCGTGTGCACTCCCGTGCATGGCACTTATGCCTGGGAGTCCTGCATATGCGGTGGGCCCCAGAGGTGTGTTTGTTCATGAGAAATGCTGTCTGGGGGCTTGAGGACGAGGGTTACCCGAAACCACCGTCCTGTGAAGGGAGGATCAGAGAGGTCTCCACAGACCTGAGGTGACCCCAGACTGCGGCTTGGGGACCCGGGGAAGGGAGGCCGGCCTGGGCACCAGCAGGTGGTTTCCCTGGAGGACTTGGGACCGAGCGTCCAGGAATGTTTGCTTTCAGGGCCCGTACGGTTCACCTTGTGCCTCATTAGGGGCTCAGCCAAACACACAGACTTTTCTCTGTTAAGTGCTTAATTTACGAAGGGAAAAGCTGCACTTCTAACAAGGCTGGAGAGGCTGGGTCCTACGATCCACGGCTGGGCGCTGATCCTGGCCATGTGCCCAGGGCCGTCGAGGCAGAAGGGGGCACGGGGTGGGGGAAGGGGGACCTGGAGTGCAGTGGCCTCTGTGGGGAGGGCAGCCCCAAAGGGAGCCCCACTGTGCAGGGAGGTCTCGGCCACGTGCCATGGTGCACGCAGGCTGCCAGGGGCCGTCAGCCCAGGCTCGAGGCGGGACCGGGGCCTTCAGGAGGCCTAAGAGTCAGCAGAGAATTGCATGGAAGACGGCAGATGGGAGCAGGCAGACAGGAAGTCGGGGGGCAAAGGGAAGCAGAGGCGCTTGTGAGTTGAGGGGCTCGGGCTACAGGCGCAGAAGGTAGGCCCTCGGCTGCACTGCACCCCCGCTGTGTCCCCATCAGGCCGGGAGACGCCCCCCCCCCAGATCCACAGCGCTCCCCGCGAGGCCTGGGGAGGGCTCACCCCTGGGCGACCTCCCCTTCTTACCCCAACCCCAGGCCCAGGTTCCCCCTCGGAGCCTCCTTGCCCTGGGCTCCCGGGGGGACGAGGTGCCTCTCCGGCACCCCCGGACGTCCCATGGCTTTCCTGGCTCTGGCTGCTCTCGTGCACCACTCCCCGGCCCCCAAGCAGAGCTGTGTTTGCCAAGGAGGTGGTACTGGCAGAGCGCCCGCCCCACGTTCCCACTGGACGGCCGGGCAGTCGCTGCTGGGACACGCAGCACGTGAGGGCCGAGGAGAAAGGCAGACAGCGCCCAAGCCACGGAGGCTCCCAGAGGGACGCCGCGACTCTTCCCGTGGCGCTGCTGCCCCGGCTGACCCCATCCCGGGGATCCCGGGCTCTGTCCTGCCAGAGTAACCTCAATCCCCACCCGGGTCCTTGCCTCTGACGTCACAGACGTGTGTAAGACGGGCCGCAAGGCCCCTGCCCTCCCTGAGTAGGAGACACGCAGAGTGTGTTTCTGGGAATGAAGACAGAGCTGGTGAACGCAGCCGCAGACCAAGCAAAGGGCAGAACGGATTCTGAAAGTGAATGCAGGAAGGACAGCTGCCCAGTTATGATACATCAAAGCGGAGCGTGGAGGGGCCCGAGGTGTCAGGCCTTTGGGTGGGAGCCTCGCCCATCATTTGGGGCAACACTGAGCAGACGTCAATGTTAAAGTGAGCACCTCCCAGAGCTGAGGTCTGGGGCACTGGAATCCCTTGGGGGTCCCGGGGCCCTCTTTCCAGGAGGGCACAAAGACGGTCTCCAGCCTGGCCTGTGCACGTCACGCTCTTATCGTGGAGCAACTGAGACAGGGTGAGCCATAGGCTCCAGAATGACACCTGAAGCCAGGGGATGACCATGCAGGCTGGAGGGTGGGCGCCCTCCTGGACGGGGTGACGGCGTTGGGTTCCAGTCACACCAGTGGCCGACGCTCTGGGGCGGTGCCTGGGGAGGCGCCCGGCTCCGTCACGTGCTGCCTGCGCGCGTCAACCATCAGGCTCCAGCTTCTCCTTCACTAGAATGGGGAGAATGACAATGCCCGGAGTTTAGGACTGTTTGGGATTAAATGAGATAATCCTGGAACAGTCAGTGTTGGCAGGTCATAGTAACTGTTGGCTGATATCATTGTTTAGGAGGTGACAGAAGGTGCTGGAAGCTGAGAGTGCAGTGGGGTATGGGATGAACAAGGGCCTGCCTCTCAGAAGACTTGGGCGCCGAGGAGGGACACGGGCAGGTCATTACATTAAAACAGCGTGAGTGCTGAAACGGGACAGCCGACAGGGCTTCAGGGAGCCAGGAAGGCTTGGTGGGTGAGGCCCCTGAACGGCAGCCCAGATTCCCCAAGCAGAGCAGGCCTCCCAGATCGACAGGGCGTTCCGATGGGAGGGTCCGACCGCGGGGAGGGGCGGCAGGTGCAGGGCAGCCTGGGGACAGGGGCTGTGTGGGAGCCTGGGCCTCACTCCTGGCTAATGCTGAGCCCACCGAGGGCGCAGAGCAGGGGACGGCAAGGCCCCTGGTGGCAGTAGGCGTGGCCTGACAGGCTGCGGCTGGAAGTAGGGAGACCAGTTAGGAGGAAAGGAAGAGACTGGAATTTCTCAGAAGAAAGGCTTAGCCATTCCGTGATAGCCTTGTCAGACTTAAGAAAATACCGGACAACCAGAAGCGGCTTACTCCTGAACCAGGGCAGCATGGCATATAGATGTGCGCTCACACACACACACACACACACACACACACACACACACACACACACACAGTCTACAACGGGAAATAGCAGTAAAGAGCTAACCACTGCGGGGGACTTCCCTGGTGTCCAGTGGGTAAGACTCTGCACTTGGGGAACTAGATCCCACATGCGTGCCGCAACTAAGGAGCCCGCGTGCTGCAACGAATATCCCGTGTGCTGCGACTAAGACCCGGCACGGCCAAAATAAATAAATAGATTAATTAATTAATTAATTAATTTAAAAAAGAGCTTACCACTGTGTAAATAACAGCTTATGTGTGCTTTGGGCCCGGCCCTGAAGAGGCCGGAGGTTTTTGTGTTTACTTGTTTTTTATAAGTAGACATGTTATATATTTACAATACCGACATTATTTGAATGTAGGGAGATGGTGAGGTCGATGTGGTGCTCATGGTGAGATGAGATTCAGAGCTGTTGCAGTAACAGCAACCGCAATCAGAACAACAGCCGTCACTTGTTGAGCAACTTCTGTGTGCCAGACGTCGGACCTACGTTGGTCGTTATTGTTCCCACCTTACAGATGGGGAGACTGAGGCCTGGGACCACGGTCAGGGGTCACGTTAGCGGCAGGGTGGCACCAGCACTCAGGGTCTCCCCTTTAGGTCCGGCACCCTTAGCCTTGCCCACAGCGTCCTGTCCCCACAGGAGCTGCTCCCAGACCAGCACCCTCCCTGGCGGAAGGAGAGCCAGCCGGCGCCCGGTCAGAGGTTGAGCCCTGACTAATCCAGCACGGCAAATATTGATTCCTGGTCCCAGGCACCAGCTGGTGCCACGTGGGACCATCACCTCCAGACTGCTGGTGGCGGGGGGCCTGCGGGGACACAGATGGTGGCTGCCCTCCAGGAAGGGAGGTGGTCTGGGGAGAGAATCCCTGCTTCACATGCCTTCTGTCCATCGCACAGGTCCTGAGCGCTCGCTGAGTGAGCTCCTGTCCACTCTGAGCATCCTAGGCTCTGGCCAGAAGCCCCTGAGCACCTCAGGCACATTGTCTCAACGTTAGCGCAAGGGATCTGCGGGGAACAACCTCCCACCCGTTTCTGCGTGTTTGCCCTTGAGCTCTGGTGGGACATGTCACCTGACACTTCCGGATAAAGCTTTGACTTCCACTCACCACCTATGACAAGACCCTCTCTGATCCTGAGTCCCGGGCCTCGGCGGGGAATCATGGAGCCGGGGGCCGGGTGCAGCCAGACACCCTGGGCACCACCCAGAGCAGCCAGTTGCCCCCCGAGCATCATTCCTGCCCTCAAACCGCATACGTTCTAGGGGTCTCAGGAGATGGGCCCAAGTCCAGTTTGTGCATAGCCCACGCCTCCCAGGCCATCCTTCCCTTGATGTCCCCTCCTGGGCTGCTGAGCTGCACACCCTGTCTGTTGCCCACCCGCCCTGGCAGCACTCACCCCCGGCCATTTCCACACGAAGGGGAGCTGGGGCCTCTCGTTATAGAAGAGAGAGGAGCTGTTGGCTGGGAAGTCTGCATCCTCAAACAGAACGCCCTTCTGCAGACATGCCTACCTCAGCTCCTCCAAGCTCTGGCCCGAGGAGTGGGTGATGCAGGCATCCTTGGGGGCGGGGGGCACCTGAGGCCCTGGGGCCCGCTAGAGGTAAGGCATGGCTGTCCTCGGGCCAGCAGACTCGGGGTCAGTGATGGTGGGGAGAGGCGAGATGCAGGTGCCAGTCAAAAGGAGCCAGTGAGGCAGCACTGAGCTAAGTACCTTGGCCTCCGCCTGCTTTCCTGGGAACCTCCCTGTTAGACGGGAACGGGGCACACCCTGATGGCAAACTGTCCCAGAGCCCTCTGCCCTCCCAGGGGATCCTGTCGTGCAGCAGGAGCTCTGAGGCTGAGCCGGGTTTGGGCGGAGACAGCGCTCTCTGCTTAATGCACGGGGCAGACCCCGGTGGCAGAGAGAGGGTGGCCTTATGGCAAAAGAGCGCAAGATATCAAACTGGTCCAGGAGGTGGCAGGCAGTGCGGGCTTTGCTGTGGGGAGAGGGCACGGGGTGATCTTCAATCACCTCTTAAATCAGAGAGTCGCAGTGTTCTGTAGTTGGCAGAGAGCTTAGTAAGTCACAATAATCCACGTTGCACGGACAGCTTTCTCACAGCCTCCCATTTTGATTTAGAGCAGGGTTGGCAAACTTTGTCTGTAAAGAGCCAGACAGTAAATCTTCCCGGCTTCGTGGGACATGTGGTCTGTGTTGCAGCTACTCAGCTTTGGGTTGTAGAGAAAAACAGCCACGATGCTGTGCGAACCAAACAGCGAGGCTGTGCCCCATCCAACTCTACTTATAGAAGCAGAAGGGTTGGATTTCATCCAGCCGGAGCTGGGTGGCTCTGACCCCCGACATGGGTGCACTCACAGGGTACGTCCGCCCCTCCTCCAGGGCAAGGATGCCTCTGTCTCCATCCTTCCTGGCAGCTGGTCTTGGAAAACAGTTGCAAAAGCAGACATCATATTAATGAAATTCCTTGCCCTGCCAAACTCTACAAATAGGCTGTCACGTTTGAGAAGAAATGATGTTCTGGGGCAGCAGTTTAATAAAAATCTGAGCGGCCGCGTGAAGCCCCGGGGCTTCGAAGAGCTTCACCGTGGAGTCAAGGGGTCTGGAGTTAACAGGTGTGGTTAGAAGCCTGTGACCTGAGTTTTCACGCAACCCCCAATTCCCAGGAACGTTCACTTGCCTCCACATACTTTCTGTCCAGAGAATCCTGCATATGGTCTACAGGGATGTACAGACACTGAAGTTGGGGGCATCTGGGTTGGGCTCCCAGATTCGCCTGGGGTGACCTTGGGCAGGGCCTCTTTGCCCCGGTTCCTCAGTGACTCGGATGACGGGCAACTGTGGGGGCCGCGAGGGGCGGCTGGGAACAAACAGCCGGCAGGGTCCACGGGCCGGGCCAGGAGCTGCAGGTGCCTCCTTCCCTGTGCTGTCTTGTCTGTCCCCTGCACTGCCCTAGACACCGGATCTCAGAGCCCCCTTCCTGAGCCTCTTTTGCCGCCTCTAGTAAAGGCTTCTTATGTTTCTTTGACCACGCCATAAAGGATTCTGGAATAATTCTCTGCCAGAGACAGTGGAGCTGCCGGCGTCTTGTAAGACAGCTCCTGTTTCCAGGTGATTAAGGAGAACAGCCAGCGAGACAGGTGCAGCAGCATAAGGGCCATCCATTTCTGTGACGCCCTGGTCAGGGAAATGATCACCAGCTCAGATTTTTCAGAATTTCCCATTCAAACGACCCCGAGACTGGGGGGGAAGGACCTTGAAGTGAAATCCAACACAATCTCAATGTCGTAAAGGGTTTCCGTGATGCTGGACCCTCTCCAGACCCCAGGATGCATGTCCGTATACCGTGCCCCTACCTCTCCAGGCAAGGGGTCCTGTCCTGCCATGTTGGTCGCTCCTGCGGACTGGATGAACCCATGTTTATTTAAAGCCCATCTTTGTTACTAGGTAATCAGAGACTGCGTTGCCATTTGTGACTAAAGCAGAAACACCCGCGAGCGGGAAATACACTCAAAGGGCTTAGAGATGCCTTAGTCTCCTGGAGGTCATCTCACACCCCTGCTCTCCGGGACATCATCCCAGTGCAGGGGGCCAGGCCAGCTGCCAGGACCCTGCAAGGGTCTGCGGGGAGGGTCCGCAGGAAGGAGTGCTGTTGTAGGTGTCACCTGTCCACACACCCCCGCCCGTGCCCCGGCCACGTCCCAGGTGCAGGCACTCAGCAGAGCTTCCTGCCTGGACTTAGGGCTGCAGCCCAGCACCTCTGAGCCCGGCCCCAGCTCAGCCCGGTGGGTCGGAGCTGGCTGCCCGTTTGCTGTGGGAACTTGGAAAGCAGACACCGTACCTGAGCCTCTCAGGTGAATCTTCCAAACCTTTGTTTCTTCTCTGGATGGAATGTTTAGAGGACCTTGAGCCATGTGTTCTGGAGGCCAGTGGGATCTCGGCCTCCTGCGCGCAGCTCCGGCACACACGCAGGGAAGCGCTCTGCCTGCCCGGGGACAGGACAGGACGGTGCCCATTGCTTGTCGCAAGGCCTGCCCACTTGTCACCAGCCTAGAGGCGTGTGTGGCATTGAGCCCTGCGGTGCAGTGCCCACGGGGACCACTTGTCACTTTAGCTGCATTGTCCTCCGCTGAACAGAACAACTGCTAAAGTGACCTCCAGCTTAACTCACCCTCACCCTGGCCCTGGGGCCTTCCTGTCCCTTCTTTCTCTCTTCCCCACACCCTCAGCTTGCAGAGGCCGCTGTGTTTCTCTTTCTCCAGAGAAGAGGCCCAAGTAAGCCCCGGGGGTGGTGTGGTGTGTGTGTGTGTATCAGGGCAGTGGGATGCAAGAAGCCCCCTGGGTGGGTCTGTGAGGCCTCTGGACAAAACCCAAGAACAATGCCCTGAACCTTCACCTGGGCGCAGAGACCTTGTCCTGGACTCCAGGGGGCCGGGAATTACAGTAGCAGAGCAGACTTTTCACCAGCACCAGGTTTTGACAGGTGTGCAAAACAGACGACCCCGCAGCGGGCATTGCTCTGTTTTGGGGTGTCTGCGGGAGGCGGTCAGGAGCCTGCCTGCGGTGATGGGGGTGGCATGGGCCCCGCTGCTCGCGTGTGGAGAACAGGTGGCGGAAGATGAGAGGAGGGAAGTGAGTCAGGAGGCTCACACAGGTGTCCAGGTGAGCAGGGCAGGTGTGGTAGGAGAGAAGGCGAGAGGAAGGGACAGATTGTCTTCGGAGAATCACTGCCCGGACTTCCTCACGGAGCGGGGGGTCGGGGGGCAAGATGGGGCCTCCTGCTTTCAGGCCTGAGCAAACGAACAAAGGAGGGGCAGGCCTGGAAGAAAGGTTCAAAACTTTGGGTCTGTTGAGCTAAAAATGCCCTCCTAATAGCTGGTGGGAGTGTACACGGGTACAATGTTTTTGGAGAGCAGCTTATTAATATCTATCAAAATTACAGATGCACACGCTCTCTAAAGCCAGCCACTCCCTCCTGGCAACTTATCCTGCAGACGAACCTGCGCCCCTGCAAAGTGAAGATATTCAAGCTTATCCATCTCGTCACAGCATTTGCTCACTTTAGAAACAAGGTGAAAAGCACTCAGCGCCCACCGCTAGACGGAATGATAAAAAAAAATTATGGCCCAGCCAATCACGAAGTGAGATACCAGGCGGCCACGGAGCAGAGTCAGGAAGCCCTCCATGCTGACGTGGAAGGTCTCCGATAGGTCAAGGTCAGCACAGCACGCAGAGAGCACTCCCATTTGTGGAGAAAGGGGGACCAGGATGGCATTTACAGCTGCATAAATTTCTCTTGGAAATTACACGAGGCATAACGAGAGTGGTGGACTGAGCACAGGGAATGCATGTTTGCTTGTAACCCTCTAGACTTACTTGGTTGAGTTTCTTTTTACGTTGAGACGACCATGAAAGGGCAAGACCCAGTGGTGGTGAGACCTCAGGACAGCTTCACAGAGGGAGGAGGCCCTGGCTGATGCCCCGTCATCCTCTCTCAGACTCCAAGTCCCTCCGCCATAGGATCCTGGTGGCTGTATCCCCCCAGCACGGAACACTCTGCACTCTTCCCTTACTGCCTGTCCTGGTCGTCACCTGCCACCTGTGCCCCGGTATGTGGCACTCACAGCGTATGCAAAGGAGCTCCACATACCCAGGTTGAGAATCGTCAGCTTCTGCAGTAAGAGCTGGGCCTGGGGTCTCAAAATCCACACCCTGTGTCCCACATGTACCGAAATGCAATTCCCACTTTTCTAGTACCTCCTTCCCCGTGGCCCTGGAGCCCAAAAACTGCACGGAGTGCACATCTCTCCTGGCCCTCTGCAGGGTGTTCAGTCCAATGCAGTAAGTTTTCGGTCGGTTTTAAATATTACTGTCTCAGTCACTCGCAAGGCCAAAGCGGAGTCCTCTCAGGGTTTGCACCGTCTGCAGTGACTCTGCCCCCTCCGCCCTCCCCAGGGGCACGTGGGGGCAGGGGAAAGGGTCTCTGCCCTCCCCCCCTCAGGTCCTCACATCTCCCGGCCCCAGGCGGCTTTCTCTCTTAGGAGGGAATGACCTTGACGTTATAACTGTTGTCCCCTGGTGATTTGCTGTATGATTTACTTTCCAGTTACGCCTCCAAGCTTTGATCTTAAAAAAAAAAAAAAAAAAAAAAAAAAAAAAAAAAAAAAAAAAAAAAAAAAAAAAAAAAAAAGTCATTTTGTGGGTTCTGAGGAATCCTTTGCTCTCACTTGACAGCCCAGCTTTCCAAAGCCTCACCATAGACTTAAAAGCCCAGCTTGAAGCTCAGAGCGGAGCAATGATGTCATTGTTCCAGGCGAGCTCTGTCTCCCTTTTTGGGCCGTCCCCAGAAGTCTGTGCTTTGCAAAAGGAGGTTCAGTGGTGGTCATGAGTGTCACTGTGTGTCCTAGAAGGTGAGAGCTTGTGCTCCTCGTGCCAAGTTCATATCAGCAAACCTGGCTGCCAGATGGGACTCGATTCCCTCCCCTGGAACACCCGCCATCCCCGCCTCGGGCTGTGCACTCCTACCCGCCCCCCCCAGGAGCCCACTTTCTCCTACGTGGGAATAAGCCTTTTGCCTCCGAGAAGGCGGTGGAGGCTGACTCTACAGTCAT